AGTGTTTGTTCGACAAAAAACGAATTGTTTCTGTTTTTTTTTTCTTGTTTCTTTTACGCAATTCTGAACAACCAATGAAAGAGCTAATTCATATTTTAGGTTAGATAACAGCGTTGTCTTCGGCAACAACATAAAAACGACTTGCTCTGATCACGTTGTACTTGATGTACAACAATGTTGCTTTAGTGGTTCCCAACCTTTGTGCGCGAAAATAAGCTATGCCCCCACAACACAAAACAACTTCGAACAAAATGCGATTGTTGCTTTTCCGAACAAAATACGACTTATTTAATGGGCACATTTTCGTCGATTTCAGTCGCATTGGAGGTTGAGTTTAACTTAATTTTATGTAGAATCAGTAAGCCCTGTGCATAGGAAGATAAAAATTGATATAGTCCATCGGATGCGCGGGGTAGATAGGACGGCTTCCTTCCGAACTTTTGCAGATGTGACACACAGTTCAACTGCGTTCAAGCGGGAATGGCATAAGTCATATCTACAGGAGGCTGCAGCTCACTTTAGCTATGCATTCACCACTGCAAAAATGTCACAGGAAATCAACAAGGCCCGCGTGCATGAAGGCTATTTCAATTTTAAACTTTCGTCGCATTCTTAAGGCGAAATGATACAACTATTTGAACTCTCCGGAATGCGTGAGGTATCACGCCGCATTTGAAGGCGTTTTCAAAACAGCCAAGTTCCGGTATCCGGATAATCGTTTTGCACAGTTCATATTATTTTGTTTTATTCCGTACCACTTGTTTATTCTTAATCCTCGTATAAAAACCACCCATTTGCTAAATACAATTCTAGCTGGAGCTCACTTTAGCTATGCATTCACCACTGCAAAAATGTCAAAGGAAATCGACAAGTCCAGCCTGCATGGAGGCTATTTCAATTTTAATCTTCCGTCGCATTCTTAAGGCGCAATGATACAACTATTTGAACTCTCCGGAATGCGTGAGGTATCACGCCCCATTTGAAGGCGTTTTCAAAACAGCCAAGTTCCGATATCCGGATAATCGTTTTGCATAGTTTATATTATTTTGTTTTATTCCGTACCGATTGTTTATTTTTAATCCTCGTATAAAAACCACCCATTTGCAAAATACAATGCTAGCTGGAGAGGAGGCTCTGGAAACACCGAATTGAACCTTAGGTGGTTTTTGCCACGGCTCACAGTGGATCGAGTCAATCAAAAAGGTCAGACATGAAATTGTTTACTAAAACTGCAAATTGTGATGTTTATTTCGACACATATTTAACTTCAAGGGGTGCTTCTAGACGATAATTTCACAAGAAAGCCACTGGAACCACTTTAAGAACCTTTAAATTTTATAAAAACGAAGTTTTAAGCGTTTAAAGTTTCCAAATTTTGTTCGACCTCTCCTATTGACTCATCCACTGTGCGGCTCCCTGATACAGGACTTCCAGTTATTCACGCGCGTCGACTCAACTTCCCAGATGAGGAATAGACATATCTTAATTTTTATTCCAATATTAAAAAATATACTGACACTATTATGTTTTTCACGCGGAAACGGCAGCTAAACCTTCATCCAAACTTTCGCTGATTTTTGACAGTTTTTCGTTGAAAAAGCTGAGACATTTTCAATATAAAATGTCCACTAGTTCCAGGGTGAAACTAAAAATTATGAAAGGAAAATTGGCAAAGTTATAATTAATTTAGTTACGTTCTTTTCAGTTCCGGTGCACTAAATATTATTTTTTCAACGTTCATTTGGACGAAATTTCCTTCTCTTTCCGTTCCATAAAATCCTGATTCAAGGGTTGCCGCAGAATTTGGATGATTAAATTCCCTGACACATTTTGGTGCAGTTTCCTGACAACTGAGCAGATGTCAGACATTTAAAAAGACATAATTAAAAATAGTTTTTGGGTAAAATTTGTTGTTCGGAACGTCAAACCCACTCGAGAATGCAAATGAAGGATTTTTGACGATTTTTCCCTGACATTTCTAGGTTTCCCCTAACTTTAAAATTCCCAGACACTCCCCGGTTTTTCCGGTATTCCCAGACTGTGTGGCATCCCTGTGATTCTGATCACCCTGCCAAGCAGCATCTACGATGGGATGATTTTATCCTTCTGAAGTTCTGATCGTGAACTTGAGAGCCATACGAGAACGTGAAGTGATTCCTTGGTTTTAGTTCTACCAGCGCGAGTTTCGGAATACCCGTAAAGTTTTTGACGTGACGAACGACGGGTAATGCGATTTTTATCTTTGGAAACTTTCCTGGAATTTGCGCGTAATGGACTATTAGAATGAGTCTGCAGTATGTTTTATATGTGCTCATCAAAGCTTCGCGCGGTGAAGATCTCAAATCAATGATTCTTTTACGAGATAGGTACGTATTAGCCGCTTTCAGTTGGAATGGACCACTGGAATGATCCAGCAAATCGGCAACATTGTTTTTCTCCATTTAAACCTATGGAAATGTATAGTTTCTTGGAGGGGCCAGGTGCTTTGACGAGAATCGATTGTTTAACATGGGTTTTAATGGAGGAAATCCGGAGTTGCCAAATTGCTGGATCCGCCTCCGGATTAAACTTAAGTACACAAGACGAGTTAAAAACGTAGCTTTTACGGCGTCTCTAGTCAAGATTCCGCAGAGAATACGTGCATTGAACGTATTAAAACTTTCCAAAAGTAAAACATAAGTGTAAAAGCAATGGCTGAGTTTCACATGAAAATCAATTAGTTAAACTCCTCGCTAGCGAAAGAGCCAAAATTAACGTGGGCAAAATGGACTGCGTTTAACAGAAAGGAACCAAGCCAAATCGACTACTGCCAAATTCAACTGGGTAATTAAGTTTTTTTATGTGAGAACGTGTGTGCGGATTCCTTCGAAAATTTTAAGAAATTTGCTTTGTACTATGCAGAAAATTCACTGAAATTTGCACGAAAATCAGCACAACCGTTTTTATGTAAAAAATTAAATTTGGAAATAGCTGATGTGGTTTGGTTCCTTTCTCTTAATGCGGTTCAAATTGACTATTCAGGGCAATCTTATACGTTCGGGAAGGAATCCGTGTTTGGTTCAATAAAATGTTTCCACTCCTTTAACTTATTGGACTGTCCATAAAATGACGTAACGCTCTAGGGTGTGGGTGGGTCTTCCAAATTTTGTGATCAANGGGGGGGGGGGGGGGGGGGGGGGGGGCGGAGAGAAGTCTGGCTCAGCGTTACGTAACAGTATGGACTTAAACTGGCTTCCAACTTTTTTTCCCCTGATTTTTCTTCTTCTTTTTGAGTTCCATAAATTAATTTTATGGTCTTATTCTTTCTTGTTTCTTGAAACACAGAGTCTTCTAAAACCGAGGCTATGCCTTCTCTCCTTCAGTGAAAAAATTTCTGTTGAGGTTTTAGGTGAAAAGGGGAGGGATGTTGCGGCAAATTTTACGTAATTATTTAGTAGGTTTCTAAACCAGTAAAATTGCGTTACATGGGGGTGGCTGGGTGTCAAAAACTCTTGACAAAATCGCTTTCGTGATTTATGAACAGCCCCTGGGAACTTGTTAAAAAAATGTATCGCAAAACAAAACAAAACAAAAAAATAATTGAATGTAAATCATACTGAGATTGGTTGAGTATTCGCTCCGAGTCAATGAGACTTCCGTTTTTTAGAGGGTGGAGAGTTGGAATCCGCGTTCGTGAAAAACGCTATTTTCTTGGGTTGGTACTTATAAAAGTTGAATTTAAAAATCTTTCAATGTGCTCAAGTGAAATTTTAGTGAGGAAAGAAAGGTAATGGTGCTCGACTTTTTACGCCCTCTCTGGTAATTTATGCGTGTGTTCCGCTAGTACACGGAGACACATATTGCAGGAATATCAGCGCTACGAAAAACTAAGCAGATACGACTTCCGTAATTTCCGCTCGTAGTTCCGTATTTTTTGGTTCCGGCTGCCGCTATTCCACAAAAATTTCGAAATAGTTTTTGGACCTTTCTACAGTTTATGAGTTTTACTAAATTGCGGCATCTGCGACCAAAAATTTCAACTCGAAGGGCAGATTTGTTCTGGCTGCGGGTATTCCCGAAAAATTCACCGTGTAACAGCGAGACCCGTGCTAGTCTGATTCATCTCATGTAGGGAAGAGACGCTACAATTCCCTGATTTTTACCGAATGTCCCTGACTCGAAGGACCCCCACCCACCCNNCTGGATTTTTGCCAGTTTAACAGTTATTCCAAACTGTGACCAGACTGTCATGCCATGCACTTACATGAATCACACTTAAGATGCATTACAATTTACACTGTTGCTGCTCTGGCGTCATAATTCAGTGCTTATTTCCGAGCAAAAGAAATGATCATTATTACTTGGAATTTTCTTAATCTTGAAAAGAAAATTCGATGTATAGGTATTTTACATGATTGCTTAAAAAAAAGGTCTTATTTAATATCACTCTCAGTTTGTCTTAGATGAAATTAAATCCTTCAATGGACACATGAGCGTAAAAATGTCTGTCATATTCTCTGTAGTCTACAGGGGGCTATTCAAGTATTACATAGGTACATACTTTAAGTATTTTTGTCGATTGGACTACTCCCCTGAAGGACAACCCCTCAACTCCCATTTTAAATTGCGCAAGACTGGCCTGACACCCCCTTTGAATTGGGAGAAGGTGTCAAACCCACGTCAAAACACAAAAAAACTATTCATATTTAGAAAATAGAAAGAAAAAAAATTAAGAATCCTTTTTAAAAAATGGACCTACTTCAGTGAAAAGCAACAAACTCCATAATTCAAACCTAAGAAGCTTTTGGAGAGAATGACTTGACTGCTAAGTATTTGAAAATCTAGTGTGAATAAACGCAGTATAATAAAAACAGGAGAATGCCAACTTAATTGACCATAAGATGAACCGTCAAAATATGAACAGTAGCAAAGCAGTCCTGACGAATAAAAAAATATTTAAAAAGTAATAAATTCATTTGAATGATCTAAATGAGAAGATGAGTGTGATGCATTGCACTAACTTTTACTCTCAGGTAAGAGGGTTCTTCGACGTTCAAGCGCATTAATTTCCAGTCAAAAGTAGCCTTTTTCCTTTCTTCACCCAAAGGGCCTTCAGGTAGATCCATCACCATTCCGACATCGCATGCCTCAAACTGTAATAAAATGTAAAAGCACAGATTCATTAATGTTAAAATTTACGACAGAATAATACATTACATTCATGTTTGACTAATTAAACATGTAGATGCAGCAGAGTGGTGCCTTTGAGCATGCAATACCTAGTAAAATGCCTGTTTGCAAGCGAGCCAGTCTTAATGGTCAAATTATTTATAAAACTCCAAGTCTAACAATTTTTAAGAGTCGACTGAGGTTACGACGGGAGCAGGATGAATTTATCCATCTTCTGAGAACATTTCTGGACTTCATTAGAGAAATGGGATTTTTTATTTAATGGGCGAGGTTATGTTTTGGTACTATTAAATTTTTGATTCCTACCCTACATCTCACACTACAATTAGAGACAGCATTTGATTGGTTGACCAACAGTTGTGGTGGGTATTAGAGTGTACTTTTGTACTCTCCCCGTTACTACCACCATTGCTCATGATTGAAAACAGGTACATGAGCATAGAACAGTTGCAATATAGCATTGTGCAAAAAAAATCCTCGAAATGTGACATAGGAGACAGGCCCCCCACCATCTAATTGAAAAGGTTCATACCATTACATAAACTGTAGATTCGGAGGTAAGAACGACAAAGTTGAAAAACTTACAATCCAAAAACGGAATAACCATGGATCGGGTGTACTGTCAGGTGCTGGCACCTACTTAAGGTTTTCAAAAACATTCCTGTTCCTCTCAGTGCCATGACCACAAATAATGCTGTTGCTTAAGCTACGCTAGGAGAACACTATTCAAGGGCGTTTTATGATGTTGAAAGACCTAAACTTATGAATGAAAAAATTCATCCTCATTTAGATGGGTGTTCATTTCTCAGTCACCAGCATCTTACATGGATACCATAAATAATTTGAAAATGCTCTTAGGAGCGAGCACTTGATGTGGTTTTCAGCATGTTTAAGTACTGATGCATCAAACACATGAAAATATAAAGTTGTTTAAGAAGCTGTGGGGTTACCACCAACAAGCAGAGTATCTAATTTTGGTGAAATAAATTTTAACTACTTTGCTACGTGGGTTTTAGAGTAGCGAATGAGAGGAGAGAGCAGGTGCACATGGGACCTACTAACTTTTCGGCGGAGATGAAAAAATTTAACACGGTAAGTAAATTTTCTCACAGAGGTTAAAGATAAGTAGCTGTCATAGTTAAAAGATCACATTCTGGCCGAGGCTTTCACCGGGGAGTGAAATTCTCGTAAGAAGGGACTGAGTGTTTACATAACCAGAACAGGATGCAAGAGAAATGTTGGAGGAACTGTCTGACATCCAATCCTGTGGCACATTGACGGGCATGAGTTTAATAAGTGTTTAATTAGTTCAAATGACACGTAAAATAATACATACTGATGAGAAACTCACTTTGCACACTCCTTCAACGTTTTTGGAGGGTAGAACAGGGTAAGACTCCACTTCGTCGAATCCACCCATCGTAGACGCGTGAATTGATGACAGGAGGAACTGAATAAAAGCAACAAACTTTAGACTGAAACCTCAAAATTTGACAGGTTTGAGTAAACTTCTGCCTGACTTTCAGAAAGCGAAAATAACAAGTCGGAAATTGACTGCACGACCGCACCAAAACAAATCTATCCTGAGACGTTGACCGATAACGATAACGAAAAACCGGGTGGCGTGAAAGATGAGAGATCGAGCATTGGATGAGCCGATGAGCGTGCCGGCGACTTCGGTTTCAGTGTTTTGTCGTATAGAGTGCGCTGCTATGCAAAAGTACAACAAGTTGTATCGGCTCAGTTTGAAGGAAAATTTTGTTTGATAAGTGGCCTCGTCAAGAGTTCGGGACTATACAATGGAGGGCCAATGGCCGAAGTGCAAAACTATGTATTTCAGTTTGCGATGTTGCAAACTTCCTGTCATCCTTAATTTTTTCTTTAAGCTCGCCATCGTAATTCCTTGAAAACTTCCTTGATTTTACTTCTCTTTCAGCAGAAAATTCTGTATAAATTTCAAGCTAAAAAGTTGACTTGTTTCTCTTGAAAAAAAATAGGAGGGGCAATTTTGAAACCCAGCCATTGAGATAGGTGGTATTGCTTTTTAACCATTGATGTGAGTAGAACAGCTTCAGCGTACTACGGACGAGTCTATTTTGTCTTATTACTTCCTTACTACTGCATACAAATCATTTAAAGCTACTTTTAATTNGCAAAACTATGTATTTCAGTTTGCGATGTTGCAAACTTCCTGTCATCCTTAATTTTTTCTTTAAGCTCGCCATCGTAATTCCTTGAAAACTTCCTTGATTTTACTTCTCTTTCAGCAGAAAATTCTGTATAAATTTCAAGCTAAAAAGTTGACTTGTTTCTCTTGAAAAAAAATAGGAGGGGCAATTTTGAAACCCAGCCATTGAGATAGGTGGTATTGCTTTTTAACCATTGATGTGAGTAGAACAGCTTCAGCGTACTACGGACGAGTCTATTTTGTCTTATTACTTCCTTACTACTGCATACAAATCATTTAAAGCTACTTTTAATTCTCATCACCGTAGGGCTGTATCATTTTTAGAGAACAACTATAGTGACTACTTGGGGCGCCGCGAGGTGTCACTAGTTTTATTTAATAATGGGGGGGGGGGGGTATCCAAGTGAAAACTGTGCGCTTCTCTCAGTTTTGACATTCTTAGTTTGACGGATGTGCCATCTTATTTTTACTTTTTCAAGGAGTGTTGATTTCCCGTCTGAAAAAGGCACGATTAATTTTTATTGAAAACAATCCGAAAAAACTAGATAGAAAAAAATGTATAGCAAATATGAAAAAAAAAAAAAAGAAAAAGAAAAAAGAGAAAAAAAACAGTACGATTCATTTCACGAATTCCACTCATTTCCTCACATTTTTCAGCCGTGAAATAAATTATTGTAAAGAAAAAAAAAATATTTGTAAAAACCTGGTAAAATGTTTGAGGTTGTAATACGCAATAGTTCACATCAGTTGTGCAGTGACGTCACAAGGGTGGAGCGATAGGAGGAACGGAACCAGGCGCCGCATTGCCGAAAGCGCTAAATGAAGAAGATCGGGGAGAGGAAGGAAGAAAAATAAAAGGAAATGTTCGTAAAAGGAAGAAAAAAAGAGAAAGAAACGAGGAGGGAAGTGAAAAAAAGGGAAAAAAGGGCAAGGAAAATGGGCGCAAAGATGGCAAGGCATTGATGTGGGGGCAACAGGCGCCTCTTTGGATAGGAAATTACCCTTTGGAACTTAAATTAAACAAGAGGGCGCCTTTAGGTGGGGGATTGTGTTGTTTCAAAATCACCACTCCCTTTGTATTTCTATTTTTTAAAGAGGAACAAGCCATTACTGTAGATTAGTCAGTGATACGGTCAGATGAGATAATTCTTTGATGAAGCGCGTCGACACATGCAAAACGCCCTCATTGAGAGAAGATACTTCCCAACGTGGCCCCAGAGGCCACATAGTTGCATCCTTTCAAAACCCAATCAACAATGTAGCAGCGTAGATTAGTCAGTGAATGAGATAATTCTCTTATGAAGCTTGTCAACACATGCAAAACGCCTTCATAGGGAAAAGATACTTCCTAGCGTCGCTTCAAAGACTGAATAGTTGCACCACTTCAAAACCCAATAACACTGTGACGTCGTAGGTTAGCCACTAATGGAGTGGGTTACGATAGTTTTTTAATTAACTGCGTCAACGCACGAGAAGCGCCTTCATTGGGAAAAGATACTCCCTAGCGATGCCTAGGAGGTCGAATAGTTGCATCCTTCCAAAACCCAGTTAACAGTGTAGCAGCAAAGATTAGCCGGTTGTTGGAGATAATTCTTGTTTAGTTAATCGTGTAGACGCATAAAAGGAACGTCTTAGTTGTGAAAAGATCCTATGGAAGATGAATATATATTTCCTGTAATTTTCAAAGGATGGATTTACATCCATTTGAATGTTCTGAAATAATACCTTCGATAGGAAAATGTTTAAACCTTTCAGGCCAATTCGAGATGTTGAACTTAGGACCTTTATCAAGAAATTGAAGGAAAACTGAGACATTTTTAAGTTAAAAAAGTAGGCATAAAGTGAGTTTATAAAGTTCCATTACACGTATTCGTTATAAAAGTAGAGCATGGAGAATATAGAGAAACAATCATTGGAATAAGACCAAAAGTTTAGAGGCATTAATCTTTTTTCGAATGTAAAATAAAATAAAACCTGTCCTTCAGAAGAAGCGTTCAAGTATTCTTCCGAGGGCCAAATGCAAAACGGAGAATTTTAAAATTTTAAGCTATAGCCCTTCTACCAGAAATCGCTACGAAGAATGCGGACTATGTTGGTATTTTGATCCGATAGCCCGTTCATAAACCATTTTGTTTCGAATCACTTATGGCTACGGTCGAGGTGCCGCAAGTGATGTCGTGAGAGATATATCAGCCGAGGAGGATGATCCATCAGTGGCGTGGCGTGAATTGCGATGTATCGATTTTTATGCCATTTAAACCTATTGTAAAGAATCGATTATTGAGGTGTTCGCAGCGAACATCCTGTTTATCGATCCTTTTCCATAGGTTTGAATGGCATAACAATCGATATATCGCATATCGCAAAGCACGCCACGCCACTGTGATCCATCCGCTTCCACGTGCTATAATTGCGCATGAGAATTCAGTATCCGATTAAAACAAAGAGACATACGGTATCGTGTTGCATGAAGTACTTATATCTTCCTTACGTAAAAAAAACTCAATAGTTTCGATAAGGACTTCCACTTTTAGTTCTAGGAGGAAAACAGCTCGTAAAACCTCGGAATTAGTCATGAAGCTCGAATTTTTCTTGCAACGAGTCTAAATTGGTTGCATCCTCAATTTTTAGCTAGGTACTTTCCCACTTAATCAGGGCGGAATACAGGACAATAGAGCGGCAAATGACGTTGAATTTGAGTTAAAGCAGCCTCATAGGTACCCCTCCTTCCATCTCTCTCACTCTCACTAGTGAAAAAATACCATGACATAAGAAGGGCTTTGCAAAAATGCTATGAACGGCATCAACTAGAGTCAGCCTAATTGTAAGTACTTTGGGAGGTATTAATTTAGTGGCGTGGCGTGCATTGCGATGTATCGATTGATCGGTCATTTAAACCTATGGAAAAGTATCGATAAACAGGGTGTTCGCAGTGAACACCTTAATAATCGAGTATCTACCACAGCTTCAAATGGGAAAATATCGATAGATCGCAAAGGACGCCACACCACTGATATTTAAGCTAAAAATAACTATGGTGCACGTAAACCCTAAGCACATAGTTCCTTTTAGCATGAATACGTCCATTAGACGTTACCTAATTTCATATCTTCAATCAATGTAAAAAAAAAAGAAGCGATTTCTTGCACTAGTGAGATCTGGATATCTATTAGCGGGCTGATTGTTGAATTTGATAGATAAGGCGACTGACGAAGAAGACATGGGTAGTATGGAGCGAGTCTATGGATTGAAATGGTTGTTGTGAATAGACTAAGAGAGGAAATGATGGACCAACTATAAAGTCACCTGTGGGTTACTGTTACTTAGTCTATTATCTACCTTCTTTGTCCATCGCAACCACCCACTTCCATACCAACAGGATCCCTTTACATCCCTTTTGTCTTCTTTGTCTATAGCTTTGTCCATCAATTTCAACAATCAGCGATATTCTAACGAACTTTTAAGCGCTCAGACAGGGAGCGCTTATTGATTTCAACCTGCCCGTAGTATTCCAGTATACTTGTGGCAATGTTATCAAATGGCGCACCGGCTCATTCGGATCTCACCGGATAGGTACTTTTAATATATTAATCTTACCGTAAGACCGTAAGACCCAATTTTGTCGTAGGGTTCCAATCTCGTGTGAGGCTTTTATACTTGTAGTACAATGATTACGGAAAATGGAATATTTTGTGCCTCTGCACTCGGGCACTAGAGTGAATAAAATCTTGGATCTAGGTGCGTCACAGACCGGTCTCAATCCGGTCCTACAAAGTGATCGCGACACACAATGGATTCATTACACGGATTTTGAGGACTGACTGACTTACATTACATGGGTGGACCTAGGGGAACGGAGGGCGTACTCTCTCCCTGGTTATCCCCACTCAAATACTGCAAGGGATTTTGCTCGAAAAGTGCGTGATATAATTTTCATTCTGTTATCAGTACTCGACCAATTTTTCGGTGAAAACAGCTCAAATTACTCCCGAGACGAGTTAATTTTTCAAAATTTTGCCGGGGAGGCCCCCGAAATCTCCCTTAGAAGCCAGGCAAACCTGGAGCTAAGGAGTCTCATACAGGTGTTCATTAATGAGGTGCCTTCCTACCCCCTTCCCCACAAAAAGTTCCCACTGATTCCACCCGCATACTTACACTTTCTTTATTCTTCATCAAGGAATTTATCCCTCTAGAAAATCTACCTAATAATATAGACTCAGACTTTTAAAAGGCTCATGTGTAATCACACGAGTCCTACGCTGTGATTTAAGAAATGTTAAATTTAAGCCTTAGCCAGGGGCGCACTGGCCCAAAAAGCGAGGCAGTGGCCACTCCCTAAACTTGAGTCCTTTCTAGCAAATTTTTTTGTGCCCCATTGGGTGCTTTTTGAGCATTCTCGCCGAACCGCTCAGGGCTTAATCCGTCTAAGCTTCTCCTGCCTTTATCAGGAGGCCCCCAATTATTCTCTTCTCGGTGGGAACCGCACCCTTGCAACTTAGGAGCCAGCCCTTCTGACTTCCAAATAAATGGATTACGCCAACGAAATTAAATTTTTTGCGACTTTCTAAAAATCTGTAAAACTGTACGTGCCTTTCCAATTCCGGTGCGCCCTTTACATAATACCAATCCTTCGCTTTTCTTTTTTCATGTTTTCCATGATTAAATTTAAAATTCGACGATACTCGGGTTGGGTCGCTCTCTGCCCACTGCGCGCGCGTTGGCGGAAAACCCAAAGCGGCAATGTTTCCATAATAATGAGATCGTTGTTGTTGTTGGATCAGTCATCAGCCGGTCAGCATTCGGTAGCGCCGCGACGCTCCACCACGCCGCCGCGACGCGCGAGCCAGTCTTAACCTCGCTCTCTGCCAAGGGCACTCTCGCAATCCGCGCTTTTCGAACGCCCACACGCGAACCGACGCATCCGAACACGAGCCGGTCGCATCATACGCGTCTTGGAGCCGGCTACCGGTTCCATTTCCAAATTTTGTGTGTATCTAGTCACTTTTCGAACGATTTCAGTCGGTCTCAGCGGAAGAACCTCTTCTCATCCTTTGAGAGTTTTCTATGTATTCATTGAAAAGCTCAACTTGAGATGACAAGTAGCTTTTCATCGACTATCTCGTCGGGATTTAGGATAACCTCATTAGACTCAATGAGTATGTTTTTTCCCTCTCTTTTTTCTTGGTGACACTTCTTCGTACTCCAAGCACTGATCGTGGGTGTGAGGTTTTGGTGAAACGCTTACCTATCGTGTTTTTCATTTTTGATAATAATCCGATTACTTTCTTCGTAAGCGGGCTACTATTATCTAGTGTTCGGTCATTTTTAACTGAATTCCCTGCATAAACACAGTGAAGTAGTGATATCCACTCGAAGTTTTGAGGATCGCTTTGATAGTGGATAAATTGTTCTATTGCCGTTTGGGTCAAAAGTTCACGCGCACTGAATAAGTAAGTCTGATACTTTTCCTATCACCATATTTCTTAAATGTAATTATTTCAGAAATTTTTCAATTTAATCACCTTCTTCACCTGCGAAATCACGTGAGATTCGGATTGTATTCGTAGTTGTTGACGAGGCCACAAGTCCATGTCCCATGATTATCTCAGTAAAAGGATGGAAATATTGCGACCCTCGAGTGTCCACTTTTGCCTGCCTTCTCAATTGAAGGCGAACCTAATGTGCTGCCTGTCTCCCGAGAGATTGCTTGCGACATACAACATTTTGGGTCCCTCTCCTGAGGTATAATCGTAATAATTTCGCTTAAAATGGTGGGAAGAAAAATATTCTCGCGACGCTCTCCGCGTCATTACAATTGTTACCGGCAAATTGTGATTGTCAGGGTATATTTCAGGCAAATCCTAAGAAATTTTTTAGACTCAATCTAACACTGAGCACACAGTTCCTAAGTTGACCTTTATTGTCTGAACTGGGGTTTGCCCTTCATACCTTGTCAAGAAGTAACTATATTCTTATTTGTCACCCTGGTAAAAATTGGCAGTAGAATCTGTGTTCCAAAATACCATAGACCTACAGCCGGCTGTAAGATTTCCAATAGCTTCTATAGCCGGCTACACAATTTTTTATAGCCTTTTACAGCCGATGGCGAATAAGCAACAGCCAGGCGATAAAGTGTATGCTAAACGTTACTAATTACGGATGCTAGGACTTGGTGAGTTTTTGGACTACTGCTCTCTTTTTGGGCCGTAGTATCTTGATTTATTTTGCGAGGAAAGCTCCGTACTTTTGATGGATACCTGCCATTCCTAATATATTAGAGCGCCTTCAGTTTCGTATGATACTGTGCAATACCTCTGGTGTGAAATAATTGCTGGGCAGCCAGCGCGAAACGCGCATTGGCGCCTACAAACCTAACAGGGATACTTCACGCGTTGCGCAATGCGTGAAGTATCCCTGTTAGGTTTGTAGGCGCCAGTGCGTCGCCGCTCCGCTTTGTGTGCTGCTCTAATATTTAATCAGGCGGAGTCAGCGTTATTCAACTCATGATTTTGAAATGTTTGCAAATCCTGTATGGATTGTTCTCATTTTAATTGATGAAAAAAAAAAAAATATGTATTAAAGGAAAATATAGTGTGTGTTTTGTAAACATTAAAGTGGTTCCGTATCAAACTCAATGATTTCCAAAGCACACGAATTTCACACAATTTCTTATAGCCTTTTATAATCGATGGCAAAATAGCAACAGCCAGGCGATAAAGTGTAAAGCCCGGCGATCTGAACTATAGCCCTACTGCATAATTTTTTATCGCTTCGTATAGCCCGGTCGTATGATTTTCCTCGCATTCTACAGCCAGCTATATGATTTTCTGTAGCCTCCTTTAGCCGGCTATAATAATCCCTATGGTATTTTGAAACGCAGCTCTTATCGCCAATTTTTACCAGGGCAATATTGCCTGAGAACATTGCTGACAATATTGCCGGCAGTATTGAACCGGTATCTGTCGAACAAGGTGGTAAAATAGTCCACACTATCTTGCGGGGCAAGCAACCTTTACCACTAGTTTCACTACATTTGCCATCTTATTTTACCGCTTTACCTTGTTAAATACAGTTCAAATCACATTTTTAGTGGTTTTTTTTTCTGTTTTATTTTTGTCTTTGATAAATATTATCCCTTTCTGGCTCAAAAGTACTATTGTATCAGTATTATTTAAATTGTAATGGGACAATATCGCTTCGTAATTATTCCAAGCAATATATTGCCCTCCACTCCACTGCAGGGTGGGTATTTTTTACGGTGTGATCTGGGTCATCCTTCAGTAGATAAAAATCTGATAATTAACTCTCTATGGCATAGCGTTACGAATTCGTAACAACGTATTTCCGGGGCTTTCAACAATTGAATCTTTCCCCTGTGCCATGATTTTGCAAAATTTCATTAGTTTTTTCTTTTTTTGAAAAATCGATTCCCTTAACTTTAAAATTTTGGAAAAAAAATTGTAGTAATTTTTTTTTATTCAAGCTACAAAGTAGATTAGTGTCCCACAGAATCTGAGATCCAATATTAATTCATGCCACAGACGGTTAAACGCGAGCAACTATCTAGACTCTACAAGTGTTGTCTGCAGTTTGCATCAAACAACAAATTGACGTGTGCCTTTGGCAAGGGAGTTGAAATTGAAGAAAACTTAATATTATTTGAGGAATGGCACCGGCGCGCGGCGCTTGCTATCGCTGGCGCACCACAATAACCCACTTTCTATCTTTTTCCTCTGTATTGTTTGTCTGGAATATTGCCGGCTCGTTTCGAATATTCGCAAACAAATTTCGGTGCATCCAAGAAACTTGCTCCTTTTTAATGTTCCTATTTTTAAAAATCAATCAAAGAAAAAGAAAATTGTATTTTCAGCAAAGAAATGTCTACCGAAGCTATCTAGATGTATATTTTCATATCAACTTTTCAATCAAGTAATATGCAAATTCAGTGATTATATTTTACAGACTTTTGGAGACACCCAAGTCACACTAAAAGAAGTCGCTTTATTTTTTATTTAGTTTCATTTTTTCTTATGTTGGACGATCAACGGCTCTTTAATGACAAAAAAATTCAACAAACAAAAAATTAGTGAAATTGGGCCTATGCGTTAAGGTATAAAAAAAGTTTTTTCCATCCTTACCAATCCCCAAAAGCGCATTTAAATGAGCTTTTTGTTGCTTGAGCCCGAGCTTATTGTAAAATTTTACAATTAGCTCTACTTAAGATTCAGGTAATGTTTGGGTTGGGCGATTGACCCACACCCACGCAAGTGGGACGTGGGTGGCTGTGTGTCACTTGCTGTCCGTCGACAGAATCTTGGCAATTCGGCGAAGTGAGACATTGCTCTCACAATCGGTCGGCCAAAATCATTCGTTACGTCACAGTGCGTAAAGTTCACGTTCGGTCATTAACAACGTGACGAGTGTGCATTCATTAATTATTCCTTATCTGCCAGTGTTTTTTACCGTGACCGACTCTGCGGCGCGGCGCACCGCACGGTGGATCGAGTCATTAAGCGAGGTCGGACATAATTTAGAAACTTTAAACGCTTATGACTCCGTTTATACAAAATTTTGTGGCTTTAAAAGTGGTCCCGTCGCGTCGGTATCCCCGTAGAAATTTCTTCCGGAGACACCTCTTAAAGTTTAAAATGTGACGAAATAAACATCAAAATTCGCAATTTTTGTCAAACATTTTGAGTCCGACCTCTTCTGTAATAAATTGACTCGATCCACTGTGCGGCGCGGCGCGACGGTATGGAGGAGCGTGCTTCTCTTACACTTTGACGTTGACAATTTCATTCGGTGCTGAATAACATTCGAGTAAATCATGCGGACCTAGCAGGTCGATTATTGAAATTTATAGACAAAGCTATAGACAAAGAAGACAAAAGAGATATGGAGAGATCTTATTGGTGGAAGTGGGTTATTGCAATGGATAAACGAGGTAGGTAAAAGACTAACTAACAGCAACCTACGAGAGACCCGATACTTAGTCCATCATTTTCTCCCTTAGTCCATAAGAACCACCCATTTCAACCGATAGGTCGCTCCATACTTCCTACTTCTTCTTTGTCTATTTCTTTGTCGATCAATTTCAATATCGGTCCACAAGGTATGGTGGCGTGTGCCTCTCCCCCCCCCGTGTGCTCGAAAAAAGGGGAAGAAAAAGGGGAAAAGGAATGAAATAGGGAACAAAGGAAAGAGGAAGAAAGACGATCATATTTGGTAATAATTCCATGACGAGATTGAATTAAGCTGCATACTAGATGCTTTAAAATTTTGACAATTTTCTAGAGGAGCCCTGTCCTCCCCTCCCCTCGTCCTGTCTAGATCCGCCCTTGATATAAATTCATTGTGATTTTATTGTATTTTTATTCATTCTAAATTGCATCGTGATCAAGAGTGAAACTTTTGTTTTCTATTATTTACTCCGCTCTCCCGCAAAATCATTCTCCCATCATGCCATCAGTATATATTAATTCCTCTGTTACAATCTCACACTAGGCAGCATTGATTTCACCCGAGTTCAGCGAAATCTTGCCTGAAGTACCTTTCTCCAAGAAAAAGTACGCAAGTCCTCCTTTCAAGTGTCGATAATTGTGTTTGTTTCTCGATTCGTTAGACACTTCACTGATGTGACACGTTTCTTTTTTAGTAGGTATATCTGATGCACGATGGTTCAAACGAAATTGCGGAGCTGGCCAGAGCTAAAAGATCCAGAATATTTGAGGACGAATTCTTTCGTTACGGTGGAGTCTTGGATTGAAGGGAAGCAAGTGGATGATGGCGCAGAGAAATTATGGCGGATACACGATAAGCTCTATGACTTTACGGAATGGATACAGAAGCATCCTGGCGGGGAGACTTTTCTCCGAGTGAGCAAGGTCTGTAATCAATTATCGATATTTCCCTATTTGAAGCTATGGTACAGAATCGTTCATTGAAGCGTTTTTTGCAAACACCATGTGTATCGATCTTCTTCCATATATCTAAATGGCAAATCAATCGATAGATCGCAAAACACGCCATAGTCTGTAAGCAGATAAAATAGGATTTATGCATACCGACGATCAAATTTCAAAACCACTTATCTCGTTCCCGGGGTTTTAAAATATGTACTTTTCTACTTGTCGAGGATTTTTGAGTCCATGCTCTGATAAAAATACTAGTGTTCTTTGGTACTAGTGTTGGTTGGTACAGGGAGCAAAACACAAATCAACACAAATATTGTGTTAATTCTAGTAAGGTTTGCGGTGAATTTAGCGCAGAAAGTAATGGAGGGACTGGGAAAATGCATTCCTCCGATTGCGACGTTCATATTTACCACTCGTTTTTCATTTAATTTCTTCAAGCAAATCACCTGACCATTTTTTTTGGAATTGTCAACCGAAGGCTAGGGTTATTTTGTGTTTTATTTCCCGTATTAACCAAACGTTTGTGTTGAGATTTCTCTCTGTGCGTGTAGGCGCAGTCTGTGGTGCGGGCCTCTTAAAGTGTACCTCCTCGGAGAGAAGGGTGAAGTGGCGAACTTATCCACCGATCCAGAGACATATCTTAAGGGAGAGAGCACCTGGCGATTTTGAGGGAGAGTCTCGGGGGACACCCTCCAGATTATAGGGGGGCCGGGGGGCCTCCATAGACTTCAGCCAAATCTTCTTCAGACATAATTCGGACTGCGTTAAGCAGAAAGGAACCAATCCACATAAGCAATAGCCAAATTTCGATTGGGCAATTCAATATTTTACGTGGAAACGGTTCTGCGAATATTTTTAAAAAATGTCAGTGAATTTTCTGCAAAGTGCGAAGAAAAGTTACTCAGATTTCCAAAGGAATCTGCACTAACGTTACCTTCTAAAAACTTAAATTGCCCAGTTAAATGCGGCAATGGCTGAATGGCTGACGTGGCTTGGTTCCTTTCTTCTGGCGGTCCATTTAGGACCAATAAAAATTTCGACCATTTAATGGTCATTTCGACACAGTTCTACGGATCATATTTACCTGCACTGAAAAAAAAAAAAAAAAAAAAACAAATTGGATCTAGAGTCCATAATCTTAAAAACATCGACAAGAAAAAATACTCTTGATTCAATCAGATTTAAGCTTAGATCAAGTACCAAGCCTCTCAATTTGAGCAGATTTCCTTTTGATTTAAGCTTAAATCTGATTGAATCAAGAGTCCTTTTTCTTGTCAATGTTTTCAAGAGTCGGGACTCTAGATCCAATGTGTTTTTTTTCCAGTGTGGGATCGCATCGTGTACTTGGCACTAACAAAGCGATCTCTTCTCATTTTCAGGGAACAGATATCACGGAGCTTTTTGAAGCGCATCACGTATCCGTAGCGGCTGAAAATCTCCTGCCTCGGTTTTACGTCAGGGAGGCTCAAACGCCGCGCAATTCCCCGTACACGTTCAAAGACGATGGGTTTTTCAGGGTCCTGAAGAAGAGGATCCGCGAGGAGCTGCCCTCCGTCCCGAAGACGGTGAGACTCAAGTCCATCCTCATCGCGGACAGCGTCGTCGTCACGGCCCTCACTCTCCTCGTCATCGGGTCCATCATGAAGAGCTACCTCGTCGGGCTCGCCGCAGGGGTCCCTCTCACCCTGGGAGTCATCACCGCCCACAACTTCTTCCACCAAAAACCCAACTGGAGGAGATTCTATTTCGATTTGACTTTCTTATCGCATAGGTAAAACTAAGCTACCACTTCACCCATTCAATACAGGAATAAATGGACGTATTTCTGCCAAACGGAACTGAGCGCCAATTTGAATGCCCTTTGAGGAATTTAGAATCCCGGATATCGCGCTCTGTCAAACGGAACTAAGCGCCATGGAAAAACATTGCGATTATAGGAACGAATGAGCCCGACGCCCGGTTCCGCCGCCAATCCAAGTCCCCCTCTACCTTCCTCCCCCGATGGCGCTTATTAGTTCCATTTGACAGAAATACGTCCAAAATGTAGCATTTTTCACTGAAAAATCACGATATTTTGAAATCAAGTTCCGATTTTTTTACGACTTTTTGGCGATAAAATTGTTAGGATCATCAACACCCGAGCGATTATCCTCGATCTTGTAGCAAATTTATTTTCATAAAATCGCGTTCAATAAACTCGAAATTTTATCTCAATTTATCATGATTTTTTGCTGGGTAATATTGCGATATATCGCCGACAATGAAATTGAAATTTTATTGCAATTCACAATTCTATAAATTGCAATTAATCGACCTACATAAGCCTTGTCTGAATCCCACCTCTTCCTATCGTAAAGCCCGGTAAGTCGAGCTCAGTCCCCCCCCCCCCAAGTCGCTTATACGTGACACTTAAACGTAGTATTTACAAAGTGTGATGATCGCTATCTTTTTTTTTACGAGAGTACTGTGAGAGTACGTCTATGGTTTTATTTTTTTAAAAAACTAAAAGTGAAATGCAACTGAAAATTAGAATACAGCACCTTGTTAAATCGTTCGTCTTGTTGGTAGGTTTTGACTTATCGTGGACCTAAAGCCGTCTTTTGCTCAAAAGTGGACTTTGAAATTCGTCTATTGAGCAAACAAGCACGTTGAAAAAGTCTAAAATTCATTCCTCAACACACAATCACTCGATCTCCAATGCTTGCGTCCGGATGCACTTTTTTCTCGTTCTCAGCAACCGAGTTTGCCCAGAGAGATACATAAGAAAACCTTAGTTAAGTAAATGTGCAAACTATTATGCAGATTGTTAACACTACTTCTCACTCAAGGCCAGATTTACCTACTTCCCGCCCATGGGCCGCCTGTATTTTGCCGCCAACTTCTCATTCGTATTGAAACATCAATAAAAACCATCAAGTGAACGACGTGCCAGCGGAGGAGGGGTGCATAAGACGCGTTTACTCGTGTTGGACACATGTTTTGGAATGCCCTTTCAACACTACTAGCAAAAGTTAAGTTTCGTAAACATATCTCTGTGTGGACAAGGTCTTTAATTCATAAGAAATGAAGAAAAAAATTATGAAAGAACAAACATGAATGTGATTCAATGATTTTAACTTCCGCCGCCGCGCCGCGCAGACCGCACCGTGTTTGGCGCAATGCGTGAAGTATTCACGCAGTCTTGTAGGCGCCATGCGTTTCACGCTGACCGCACTGTGTTTGGCGCAATGCGTGAAGTATTCATGCATTCTCGTAGGCGCTATCCGCTTCACGCTGACCGCAGTGACCGCACTGTGTTTGATGCAATGCGCGAAGTATTCGTGCAGTCTTGTAGGCGCTAATATGTGTTACATGCCGATCGCCGCTCTGAGGGCTTCTCCTCTTCATCTCAAGTCCTCGTCATCATTGCTCTCTGCGCCGCGCCGTTCGAGGCCAAATTGCGTGTTTGGTTTCTCTCTTAACTCGACTCCTTAAAGGTGCTGTCTCTTGTATCACTGAAAGACGACAAAATTAAAAATTACTATACTCTCAGAAAATGAGAGATTTTGTCGCCTTTTCTCGTTTGTAATTTTTTTTATTCTAAATCCGATATTTTTTTTTACCTACATTTAAAAAAATTGCAAAATTTGCCGCCCTCTAGATTTGCCGCGATGGGCCGCGGCCTATGTGGCCACCCCTTAATCCGGCCCTGTTCTCACTCGCAATTTACGTCGTTTGAAAGTATAAGGCATCTCATTTTATCAGATGAGGAAGCATAAGAAAATACTCTCAAACGACAAAATATCGTATATTATTCAGATCTGGTTCCTTTACATATTCTCTGAGCTGAACAGCGATGAAATAAGTGAAACGAGGAGGAAAAAAACAAAGAAAAGCAAAAATTTCTGTAGAAATGTGAAAATGCGTGATGCGGACGACGTGTATTGTGCTCTAAAAAGTGAATTTCAGACGATTTTGACACGTTCAACGTGATTTTATAGAGATTTACAGTATACTGTCTGCACCAGGCCCATTTTTAAATAAGGGTAGATTTTTTTGAGAATAATTTAATGTACTAATTTTTTCATTTCAGGGAATGGATAGTGTCACATGTGATGAGTCATCACATCTACCCGAACACCAAGATGGATCTCGAAATCGTTATGTTCAGCCCGTTTCTTCAGTGGCTTCCCACCCCAGAAAAGAGTTGGATCAGCAGGCACTTGAGCCTGATTTATGCTCCAGTGGTTTACGGCTCCTTATTCTTTGCTCAGGGGATTGTTAGGTATGTTTCTCAACAGTATGGCGTAGCTAGAATTTTTTCAATTGGACGTATTTATGCTAAATGGAACTATGTGCAAGTGGAAAGAGTGCTCTTAGTTGAGGGCCATAAGACCGAGTGGGAATTTTAAAGCGCTAGTGACGTCAGCGGCGACGAAGCCGCCGTCTCCAAGCATTAACTCATGAGCCCTGTCCATAACGCTCTTGTCACGTGCCCACGGCTCACGAGTTAGCGCTCAGTTTCTTTTGATTTAATGTCAAATCCCGCTTTCCATTTTCTCAAAAGGAACTATATCCACTTTTACATTGTCTCTTATCCAGCTCACCACGAGCACACCCCATCTTTCCACTTGCGTGTGGTACCTTTTAGCGTAAATAAGTCCGATTGAGGATCTCCCTTAAAGACCATTCTTATGGGGGATCCAAAGTTAAAAATTACTGGAAGTCACGACAAATGACTTATCGGTATAATTTTCTGATTAAGAGGGGTTGAAGACCCTCTGAACCTACACGGCTACTTTTCTCACCTATCTCTATCGCCCTACCTCTTATTCTCACACTTGCACAGAAACGAAATGATGGTTATTCGATCGAGTTGTGGCTCTATTCCAAGACAGCTTTTTGCAAATTATCATGCAAGCTGTAAGACTGTTGCGTTGGGCAAAGAGTTACAGTCCAATAACCATGCATACCGTTCCAGTGTTTCACAGAAATATGGCGAAAATTGAAAAAAAAAAACACCTCGATGCATTACCGGAGCGAGAGTGGAGCGATTGTAAGGAGAAACGGAACCGACGCACATAAAACGCCTTCATTGTGAAGAAATACTTCCTAGCGTGGCTCCAGAGGCCGAATAGTTGCATCATTTCAAAACCCATTATCATTGTAGAAGAGTATATTAGCTAGTGGTGGAGTTGGTTGCGACAACTATTAGATTAACCGTGTGGACGCACGAGAAACGCCTTCATTTTGAGAAGATACTTTTGAAGATAATACGTGATTTCAGAGGCTGAATAGTTGCATCATTTCAAAGCCCAACTAGCTGTGTAGCAGCGAAGATGAGCGAGTAATGCGGTTGGTTGAGATGACCGCTAACTTACAACTCGCGATAAAGCCACTGATTTTAATTACGTGGTTATAGGACATTTCGTCAACGATTTTTTGTCCGCGCACCTGTTTTTTCCAGTAATTTACGTCCACGCGTTTTTTTCGGCGCGGAAGTTATGGTCCACGTGCCAGTTGAGACCCAAAGTTAATTGGCCCACATGTAAATACAAACGACAATTGCTCACGACGTTTTTGGATTAAAATATATAATGTCTTGGAAGAGATAACCTCGAGTGAAGGTTTGCCTCGAGAATGAGGGTTTGCTTGTTTTTTTGTTTTGTCTGTTTGGTCCAACGGAGAATAATATATAGTTGAGAGTTTTGGTAAAAATGGGGGAGCGTTAATTCCATGAGACAAAATTCACTAAAACTCTCTACACCTCCTTGGTGTAACAGGACTTATTTATCTTTCAAGAAATTTCCACCTTGTCATACCTAAACCGGATAAACCTCTAAACTCTCTTTGGTGTAACAGGACTTTATTATCTTTCAAGAAATTTCCACCTTGTCATACCTGAACCGGATAAACCTCTATATTTGCCTCAGCTAAAGGCTCTTAGATTTTTCTTGTGCACGATAAGTATCTGTGTCTTGATTTATTTTGCGAGGAAAGATCTGTACTTTTAAAGGATGCCTGTCATTCTTAATACGTTCAATTTCGTATAATACTGTGCAACACCTCTGTTGTGAAATAGTTGCTTCAGGCGCCGCTGCACGATGGGCGGGCAGTCAGCTCGATACGCGCATTGGCGCCTTCAAACCTAAGTGGATACTTCAATCATTGTGCAATGCGTGAAGTATCCACTTAGGTTTGTAGGCGCCAGTGAGCCTCTCGCGCTGGCAGCACGCCGCTCCGCTCTGTTAGGCTTTTGATATTTAGCGTTTTTTTAACTCATGATTTGGAAATGTTAGCACACTCTGCATTGATTATTCTCATTTAAATTGATGGTAAAAAAATATCTATCAATTTATCAATGGAGAATAATAATATAATATGTGTTTTTTAAATATTGGTGGTTCCGTGTCAAATTTAATGCTTTCCAAAGTACCTTAATTTTTTCTATTACATGTTGTGCTTTTATTGTGCTGCAGCGAGGTGTACGCGCAACGAAACGCTCAAAATTTGACGTATTTGACTCTAAAAGATCGATGTACAAATGGGTGAAAACTAAAGATTGCGTGCTTCTTGGTATTTTTTCCCTCTTTTATTCATTTTTACAGTTTCTGTCGGCACAACTGCGGCTCATTGAGATTAATGTCGCTTGGAAAAGGTTTTACAAATATTTGTCACGTTTGTGCTTTTAATCTCGCATTAAACTCGGCGTCCGAGGTAAAAATTATGAAAATGCGTAAATAAGTAATATGAATTTAATTTGCAGGTTTTTGAGGAAGGGCTTTCAGTCTCATGACTTGGCGAACTTGGTTGTGCCCGGAGTTATTTTGGTGGCTTCCTCCTGGGATATTATGTTCACCTTGAAACTCTGGGTCGGAGTTATTTGGGTGGCAAGCAGTATATTTTCATTCATAGGAACAACTGCAGCCCACCATGCTCCTGATTTATTCCACGAAGGTGACGTACCACGGTAAGTACTCAGCAATTTTATCTCTGATTCTCAGCCGCACACCAATTACTCGGAGTCAAACGTAAAACTACCTCAAGGTTGGGGGGTAAAAAATGGATGATGCATGAAGAGAAAATGTTACGTTCACTGCAAAATTAGAGAAATGCTTGTTTCTTACGAGTGAAAGGGTCCATTGTGTCATACGATATTGTTCATTCTCTATTTCACGTTCCCTTTAATTTTTTGTCTTGAGCACATATTTTCAAAACGCAATAGTGTATTCCCTGCGGAGAGGACACTAAAAAATTGTTAGGAAATGTTATTGCCTTTTAAGTACTTTGCTCCCTATCCCTCTCCTTCCTCTCCGCCCCTTCCATAATACTGACGGCATCAATCACCTGTCGCTACTAGAATCCATTCGACTGACGTTCGTATGACGTTCATATGACGTCATCGCGGAATATTGATGACGTTTAACAGGACACCTGTTGATGATATCATCGGGTTATGAACCTTTTATAGTTGCCTACGAAGGCAAAACTTTTACCTACTGGCTTCATCAGGACTTCCGTTGATAACGTCATCGGAGCACAGTCCTAATATCTTATGTTACAGTGTAAAATCATGAGAGTAACGCTGAGCGCATAACGCCTCAGGCGTTCACGTAAGAATCTGATGGCGTATCCCTAATATCTTAAAAATATCATACCCCTCACAGTAAGATAATCGTCAAATATATAAGTATGTGCCTTTAAAAAAATATTGTATACTCGTTCAATATTTATATAGTTATAATATATATAGTTATATAGTGTAAACTCGGTCAATATTTTCCAGAGAGGACAGAGACTGGGGCCTACAACAGCTGGACGCGGTGGTCGACCGGAAGGAAATCAGCGGAAGTCTCCCGCTGACCCTCTTCACTTTCGGGGACCACACTTTGCACCACCTCTTCCCGGCGCTGGACCACGCGGTCCTCGAGCACTTGCACCCGACGTTCGAAAAAGTCTGCGCTCAGTTCAACGTCCACCACGAAGCCACGCCTTACTGGACCCTCATCAAAGGCCAGTTCCAGCAGCTGGCCAGAACCACGCCGAGGATCTTCCCGCTCAAAGCCGCCGAGAAACAGAGATGAGACCCGCTAGTTTATCTGAGGGGATTTTTTCGGAAAAACAGGGGCGTCATTATAGGGGCTGAGGGGGGACGAAATTTTTCGGAGGGGGAAAAATTTGCTAGGAGGCCACTCAAGTATCACGTAAGGCAGTTTGGCGGACTTTCTTATTTCCTTCCGCACTTTTAGGGCACCCGCAAGTAAACCTCTCCCCCTCTTACTTTACATAAAATGCCGTGACCTTGTCCTATTCATCAAAAAATAACTACGAAAACTTTAAGAAATTATTTTAATGGGAAAAGGTTAGGTATTATATTAAAGTGGGAGACTTACGTATGACAGGGCTTTCTTCATCTCTGCTTACGTCATGCCTAAACGGTCCCCAGGAGGGAAAATATCTAAAAATATCACCAATAATGCCCTAAAATAATAAAATTTTATGAAAGTTGTACAGGAAAGTCAATTTTACAGCGGAGGGTCAAAGTTACTGCTCTCCCTGTATTCTCAAAATGGCGCACTTTTTTAAAGGAACTAATTCATCCGGGAGAGCAAAGTGTTGTTCGTTGAGTAAGATTGACAAAGTTCCATATTTATCCCCACTAAGAACATTTTTAGTATTGACATTTCTAGTTGAGTGATTTATAGAATAATTTTCCTAGCTATTAGTTCACGGAAGCAAATTTTCAGTGGATCTTTTTTGTCAAAAGGAGCCAAAAAGCATTTTATGAGAAAACGTGTATATTGTGGTGCTTTTATCTACAACTTCTAATCACACGGAATAAAATGAATTTAAATAATAGATGCCATAAATTGTTAGTTCTGTAAGTGACGAGGTTTACAGACATGTTGTAAAAAATTGTACTTTAATGATTCGTGAATTAAGGGATGATTCGCACAGAGTCAGTATTTCCAATTTTTGTTTTTAATGAGAAAGAAAACCAAGAGAATTAAATTGGTGACAACCTATGATAGCGTGATGGTAAAACCCCGAGATTATAAAGACACAATCAACGAAAGACTCGATTTATGTACTTATTCAACCGTGGCACGAGTATAGTGCTTTAATGGTGCGCATCCTTTTGTGATAATTTGTATGAGTGACCCATCTATTGATTTTGTTCTTTTTTTATTATTTGGCGGTTATCTCTAAGTAGGCTGTGATATTGTTGGATTTGTTGTTATTTATGAAGTAAAAAAATATATATTTTTCGAATATAATACAAAATCTTTCGTGGTTCGAAACGTCCGGCCTTTTTTAATGTATAACCTTGCTAACCCATTTTATGGTTTTTATTCTATCGTGTTCCCATGTACAGTCAATGTGATTGGTGCAATTTTCTCATGGAACACCCATCTCGCAAAAAGTCCATTCTGACAAAAATCTCACAAAAAAATCTCTCTAGCTGTAGGAAATTTCGTCTAAAGACATATCATAATTTATTTATACACTTACTTATCACTGAGGACAGTTTTGGATTGTCGTTATGAAGTAGAAAATGGCAGTCAGACCTTATCGCTGAAAGCGTTTTACACATAACTTAAAAAGATAATCCAGCAGGTCGTATCAAACGAGTTAAAAAGTGATAAGACATTTTCAAACATCCTTTACAAAAAACAGAATCGCATTGCGCATTGTGAGATTGTTTTAGTGTCTCAAAGGTAATTGGTGAAATTTTGTCAGAATTTTGCGATCATCGGGGCGAAACTGTTCCGTTTGAGGCCGGGCATAGTTCTTTTCTCACGGGAGGTAAGTTCTCTCTTCATAACTGATAGAGCAGCTTTCATACTTCAACGCACTCACGTTTAACAGCCACGAGGCTTGGAATGTTTTTAATCTTATGCTAGTACCGACTAGACTTCTTTAATGTTATTGACTGGTCTAAAATTTTTAACTGGTTGAATTTATTTTTATTTTATTTTGAAAAATTCGTACAAGAGAGTCTCATAATTATTGGGACTATGGCACATATCAAGAGCCCCTGCTACCCCGTACAATTATTTATAATAAGACGACAATGAAACATAAAATTTTGCAAATTTAAAAATTGTAAGTATGTGTATCACCAAATATTAAAAATTAGTACCTAGACACTTTTCACTTAATACCATTTTTCGATTGTACTTAATGATTTGATTTTCCACCATAAGGCACTCTTTTGCTTGACTGCATCATATTTTTTCGGGGGAAAATCCACAAACTCTGGGAGAGGTCAAAAATTCTGATCGTGTTTCCTAATATGCGTCGATCACAAGCATTTCACAGTAAAGATGGTTTAATACTACGGACATAGCGGTGCATTGTTTATTGACAGAAATCGTTTATCAATTTGATTGCTTTTTATCATTCGATGTTGTGAGTCATACATTCTCGTTCCTTTGCCGATTTAATTACTAAGGTCGTTTTGCAGACTCGATCTTATCCATTTAATCTAGGTCCATGCATCATAATTTGCATGTTTTTCTTCTAGAGAATTACGATGAGATATGATGTAATCTTTGCACCTAAAATCGTCATGTTGTGAATTCACTCGGCTGTCGATAATCATTCACTTTTTGAAAACGACCTCCTTCTAGCAAGTAGTCGTGGGGGGGAGGGGGGTGTCAGGGCACGAGCCCCCTCCGGAAAGCAAAAAGGGTCTTATTTTTCAAGAAAAATTTGAAGTATACCCCCCAACCGCTTTATTATTGGAGGGGAGCAGATCCCCCTCATCCTCCTCCCCCGAACAAAATCCTGGTTACGTGTCTGCTGCAGTCTTAAGGATTGCACCTTTAACTTCGAGGAGATTAAGGTTGTTGCACTCCGGCGTCTCAAAATTGCTCAGATTCCTCTTCGAAAGAATTTGTTCTTAGGCTCACTTGTGTTTTTTTACTTTAATTTTAAGATGCCGGTTAATGGTAGGGATTTTGGTTTAGGAAGTCTCCCAAATATGCCTCCTTTCGAGAGAAGCTGGCCAGAACTGAAACACCCGTCTTACAGGAAGAGGAATTTAATTTCGACAGAAAATTGGCTCCATGACAAACAGACTGACGATGGGGCAGAGGGGCTTTGGCGCATCCACGATAAATTATACGATCTTCATGGGTTCATGGAGAAACATCCAGGTGGAGCTCAGTGGCTGGAGATAACCAAGGTGAACCCTAAAGTCATTAAGTCATTAAAGTCATTTCCAAATATTAATATTTTTTGGGGCTCGCAAAAACGATACTCGCCCAAATGCCATACTACCGACAAGCTGAGAACACCTCTTAATTTCCCAGTGGCATCTCGCCAATTCCACCTAGCATAGGCACGACAAAGCAGCGATAAGACATAGTCGACCAATCACACTACACCATTTATTAACCTATGTCATCTATGTCCGCCCAACATACAAACATTTTCAATGATCAGCCTGCTTATATAACCCGGAAAAAACCGTGATTTGGATCATCCTGCAGTGTAATTTTCATCCTGTCCAGCGGTCTAATTGTTATAATTGATAGACAAACCTACAGACAAAGAGGACATCGGGAGTATGGAGCGATCCTATAGGTTTAAACGGGTGGTTTCCGTAGACTAAGGGAGAAAATTATGGACAAACTACGACCAAGTCTCCTGTGGGTCGTCGTTGGTTAGTCTATTGCTTACCTCCTTTGCCCATTGCAACCACCCACTTCCACCAATAGGATCCCTCTATACCTCTGTTGTCTTCTTTGTCTACCGCTTTGTCTACCAGTTTCAGCAATCAGCCTGCTGTGGTCCTTTGAAGATTTTTTGAGCCAAAAAATTAAAAATTTGCCTGATCTTTGTCCATTACAACCACCCTCTTCCACCAATAGGATCCCTCCATATCTCTGTTGTCCTCTTTGTCTTTCGCTTTGTCTACCAATTTCAGCAATCAGCCTACTGTAATCCTTTGAAGATGTTTTGAGACAAAAAATAAAAAAGTTGCGTGATCTCATCAAAGATTATTCATCGTAAATTTTGTTAACTCACATCGACAGGGCACTGACTGCACCGAGTCATTCGAATCCCATCACCTGGGCGGCAAAGCGGAGGCGATCCTACCCAAGTACTTCGCGAGAGAAGCCTCTGCCCCGCGCAACTCGCCGTACACTTTCCACGACGATGGGTTCTACCGTACACTCAAGAAGCGGGTGAGCAAGACACTGGAGACCCTCCCTAAAGAGGACATCAAAATCCGATCAAAAATCATTATGGATTCCCTCGTCCTGACTTCACTGTCCCTGGCCGTCATGGCCGCCCATTGGAGCAGCTACAGGACCGCCGCACTCTCTGGTGTCTTCCTCGCTTTTGCTGCCATATGCAGCCACAACTTCTTCCACCAGAAGGATAACTGGCGGATGTATTATTTTAATCTCAGTCTCATGTCTGTCAGGTAAGCTCGTCACCATTGGCATGGCGTGAATGATCAACCATCGATACTTACCCATTTGAAGCTATGGTAAAGAATCTATTATTAAGGTTCGTTGCAAACACCCTGTTTGTCGATCCTTTTCCATCGGTTTAAATGATCAATCGATGTATCGCAAAGCACGCCAAGCCTCTGGCAAACTCGCCATTGAATGAAACGCCATGAGGGACTGCTTATATCAACGGTGAAACTACCAAACCATGTATATCGGTGTGCTACGTTGCAGACTTCCTGTCATACTTTAATTTTGATAAGATATACTACTGTACGTCAATTCTTGAGAACTTTCGTGTTTTCCCCTCTCTATGCGAAGAATTAAGCTTTGTGAAAATGTCAAGAAATGATATTGTTTTGTCCTCCTTCCTAAAAATAAAGTGAGAGCGGAGATTTTTAAACATCCCAAGCGAGATATTTGGTCTTGTAGTTTCACCATCGATATGTAGATCAAAACAACACTGGGAAAAAAAAAAAACACTTTGGATCAAGAGTCCAGACTCCTAAAAACATCGACAAGAAAAAATACTCTCGATCCAATCGGATTTTTGCTTAAATCAAGAACCAAGCTTCTTAATTTGAGCGGATTTCCTTCTGATTTAAGCAAAAATCTGATGGAATCAAGAGTATTTTTTCTTGTCAATGTTTTCAAGAGTCTGGAATCTAGATCCAATGTGTTTTTTTTTCCAGTGAACCGAAAACACAATACAAGAATGTTCTCGTTAATTGTAAAATAGGGCACTGGCTCAGCTACTAAAGTAAAATAAGTACATGATTTTCATTAAAATTTTTCGTAAATAATGATTCACAAAATAGGAATCTCAAACATCTACTCAAAGCCGGATTAAGGGTGGCATATGAGGAACGGTTGCATCAGGCGCTATCACAAGAAGGACGCTAAAATAAGAGGAAATAAATTAGTGGAGGAAAAAGAGGAGAGAAACAATGCAACGCTGTATAAGTATCAAATCTACCGGGTAGCTTGAACAGTGAGCCTATCGAAAATATAGTCTTTCCGGACTTTCTACGTGCTTTTACGGAACCAATAAACGACGTGTGAGTCTGTTGGATGATATTGTAAAAAATGTACGAAAACATAGCACGAACATATTTTTGGAAGTCAAATCCATGCAAGTGAGAAAATTCATGCAAGACAATTTTATCGAACTTAATTAGAGTCTAAAAATCTTTACGTTTCGATTTTCGTTTTCATGTGAGCGGGGAGTATTTTTTTTATTTTATTTTTTTAATATTTTTTTTATATTTTTCAAAAACGGGAAATGCTAATTCCTCCCCTAACCTTTAGATAACCAGGCCGAGTAATATTGACCCGAAGCTTGCAAAAGCCACGAGCCCTGCGAGTTGTATGAGGTCGGTGCGTGCAAGCTTTCATAGGTCTACAAGTGCATTTTAAAAAACTAATCAGACATCAAATTGAAAAAAAAGAGAGAAAAAACATCGGAGGTCAACACAACTGAAGATAGGACAGATGTATTCGGGCCTCTTTTTTTGAAACTTTTCAATTGAAGCCGAGCGACACCTCATTGGTACCATAAAGCGGAGCACTGCCACTGCGAATTCACGCTAGCTTCGCGACATCGCGCCTTCAATTTTGCGCATACTACACGGACACCCATCAAGCACGAATAGTTGTATCTCTGCGCCGTCATCAATGTGCGTCTTTTCCCTTGCCTTAAGTTTCGATTGTGTTTGTTTCTGTTTGTCTTATATGAAGTGTTGCTGCAAATACTATATGAGCAACACAGCCGAAGAAAGGAGAGACTTAATCGGTCCTCCTTTTTTAACTTTTCTCATTAATTTGAGCGAAACCTCATTGGCAGCACAGAGCGGAGCATTGCGAATTCACGCATTCCGCTATCGCACCTAACTTTTCAGATGCAGTACGGACATCCACCAAGCACGTATCCTTGCGCTGTCATCAACGCGCGTTGAGGTGTCTTTTATTTTTGAAATTTTAGAAAAGTAAGGGTTGAGTTTGCTCAAAATATGCTGCCGTAAATCCAAATCGCTGATCATTTTGAAGAAAAAAAAAATAAAAAAATAGAAGTTTCTCAAGCGCGCTGAACGGTGCACATCTATAATCTAATATTTTGGAGAGAGTTGTGTCTTATTGATGATTTTTTTTTTTTTTTTTCGTTTTTTTTTTTTTTTTTTTTTTTTTTTTTTTTTTTTTTTTTTTTTTTTGTGACTGCCCCAAGAAATCCCAACCCGGGTCGAATTGACGCGACAATATCATTTGGGGGAAGAACGTATGGCGGAAGAGGAGGAGGGTGAGAAAGCGCGAGTGTCACCAAAAAGATGAAAACTTCAAAGAAAAAAGTATTTCTTGCCTTTAAGAAATGGAAATATCGTAGATAATACTTCAGGAAGTATCAAAATTGATGTATTTAAATACGGGTCACTTGTTCCGACTTGGGACTCGGCATTCGGCGTGTAAAAAAGTCTTGAGCATCTGAGGGCTATATGACTGAAATTTTGAAACTTTGAATGTGTCAACTGAGTAATGGTGCTGCGTGAAATTTTGACGGGAAAACATGTCTTGTGGCTCTTGTGATACAATAACTGCTCTTTTGACCTTTGCGTCTGAGATTTAATCAAATTATAACCTGACAGTGTTAGACTAAATAACAACGACATTCGATGTATCGCTGTTAAGTTGTGCCACTCTAAAAAAGCACAGTAAAACGATCGATATCAATAGGTTGTTCTGGATGAAACCATCTGTTACGTCGAATATCGAATGACGTGATCACTAAATTAGTCAATCTGAGGCTGTTAGACTAGCAAAAACTATCCGAATCAGGAGTTATTGACAATTTACTGCGTATCACATTTTTTCTCTCCTTTTTTCCTCTGAAATTTGGGAGCGAAGATAACCTTGCCTATCTAAAGATGTGTATAATTTTTTCAATTCGCTTTGACAGCGCAACGTTCTCTGGAGCTCGGCAAATCGCATGGTGTTTATTTCTCTCAGATAAACCCAACATCCTATCTAAATTTAGCTTAATTTAAAATCCGGTGTAAGTATAGGGCGTTCAAATCGAATGGTGAAAACTGCACGGATAGGATCAATTCTTTTGACTGAAATTTGACTATTTTGCGCTGTGCCTTTTTTTGATGAACCATTTTATGGGGCATATATTATTAGGGGAGCTTCTCAGACACAGGTTTGACTAAAAAATAGTTTATATAATTCTTAAATGTTGAGCAGGGATTGGAGAATATCTCATGTGCTGAGTCACCATCCATTCACAAACACACTGCAAGACCTAGAGATCACTTCGTACGAACCGTTTTTCAATTATCTTCCTGACCCGGAAAAGAGTTGGGCTGTTCGTTACCTCTCATGGATATACTGGCCTTTGGTTCACGGTACAATTTTTCACACGCAAGTTATTCACAGGTGAGTAATCTTTTTTTTTCAATACGTATTCACAAATAAATCGGTTTTTGATGAGAAGGCGGAAGTTCACGAAACGAAATTTTACAGTGATAAAGGGATGGAGGTAAGATGAGGCAAAAAAAACTACGTTTGTCATCAAGTAAGATGAACAAGATGTTTCTAAAGTTTTCGAAAGATGAATCGATAACTGCTTGAAAGTTGTAAAAGTTTTGGCGGAGAACTTGTATGTGTCTTTTTTAAGCAAAATCCAAATTTGAAACCTACGCCGTTTCACATAAAAATGAAGACTATGGGAATCAGGGACAGAGGTAATCAAAAGTCGGATTTTTAAAATAATAATACTTCTGTATCAAATTCTTTGCCAGTAGATCTTAACCCCATCAGTCACCGTGTGCATACATAATAATGTGCGATCGTTTTTATGGAGTCTTGTGTGAAATAAAAAAATGAACACAATGATTCGATCCAAATGGTTTTGAACGCTGACATTCATCGTTACAAAATGCTCTGGCTCAAATAAAATTCCTTGTTTCTTTGGGTTAATCGTTCCAGCGGGTAGATTATTGAAGTTGATAGACAAAGCTATAGCAAAAGAGGAGAAAAGGGATATGGAGGGATCCAATTGGTGGAAGCGAGTGGTTGCGATGGATAAAGGACGTAAGTAGGTAATAAAATAATGACAACCCACGAGAAACCCTACAGTTGGTCCATCATTTTCTCCCTTGTGGGCACCACCCATTTCAACCAATCGGATCGCCCCATTATTCATTTTCTATGACTTTGTCTATCAATTTCAATAATCAGCCCGCAGATTATGATTTTTTCACTCCAGTCAGACAGTGTCACGAATAAGTATCGTTAAATTTAAGAATCTTGCATCATCATAATACGCATGTATGCCTAGCGCGTCGTTAATTTTTAAATTATACTTTCCAGATTCATTCACAACACTTTCACGTGGCCGGACGTGCTGGGTTTGATAATCCCTGTTTTACTGTGCATTGCTAACGGAGGTTACATACTCTCCGGAGTTCTCATGTGGACGTGGCTGATTTTGGTCAGCAGTTTCGTTTTCGGAGCCATCGACATCGTTTCGGCCCATCACCACCCGAAACTCTTCCACGAGGGTGACGCACCAAGGTACAAGTAGTGACAATGCTTGAAAGTTGGCAACACCGTTTTTCCTCCGTTTAAATCTATACAAAAGAGCCGATTCTTCGCCTAAAATCGATATTTTTAATGGATTTTAATTAAGGAAAAACAATATTGCCAACTTGCAGTATCACCACTGGGTATGAGAGGGAACTGCAGAATCAGCTATTTCGAAAATGAGCCAACTCTGGAAACCTAAATTCTATAGGAGAAAATGACACTTGGCAATAGATTAATGATTAAAGGCAGGAAAATGCCGTCTGAGGTCAAGGGGCATACTATTCGAGGTATCTAATAGGCTAACTTTTGGGATGAAGGACTTGGAAGGAGATCAAATTTTGAGCTTTCAAATTGCAGAGCCATTGGATTTTATCATTTTCGTTTTCACTGATTTTGAAGGAGTATATATATGAGGTAAAAAGGAAAGAAAGAAGATAATTCTTCTTAGTCTTGCTGTTTACTTTCATTGACAAGGAAAATACATTGATCGAGCAAACGCAAAATCAGGTAATGATCCGTACTTTGGCTTTATTTCCTGGGAATAAGTACGACTGAGAACTCCGAATAAATTCGATCAATCCTGAGGAATCCTATGAAGATATTTTCGACCTCCAGTCTACAGAAACCGCATTTCGAGAGTATTTTCGGGGCTACACTCCGTCTCTGGAGATTTTCAATCACATCGGGTATCCTTATTCTGCTTTAATGCTAGGTAGCAGTTAAAAATTCTTCCGATACTAAATGCGGCTACTTCCCCTCATTCCACCTAACATTTTTCTGGAATTATTTACCTCTCGAAGTTTACGTCACGAAATGCCTACAAATTTGAATACATGCAAACCGTCTTACATTCATGCAAACTACGTAGGTACAAGGAACCCAATAGCGGCAGCATTCAAGCCGGTTTCCAGTCTGGCACTGCTTCTTCTCATTCGATTACCTACTTATTTACTTGCCGTCAAACGCAGCTCCCTGGTAAAAATTGGCGATAAGAGCTGCGTTTCAAAATACCGTAGGAATTCTTATAGCTGGCTAAAGAAGGCTACAGAAAATCATATAGGTGGCTGTAGAATGCGGAGAAAATCATACGACCGGGCTATACGAAGCGATAAAAAATTATGCAGCCGGGCTATATAGTTCCTATCGCCGGGCTTTACACTTTATCGCCTGGCCGTTGCTTTTTCGCCATCGATTATAAAAGGCTATAAGAAATTGTGTAGAAATTCGTGTGCTTTGGAAATCATTAAGTTTGTTACGGAACCACCTTAATTTTCACAAAACACACGTTATATTTGCCTTTAATACATTTTTTTTTTTTCATCAATTAAAACGAGAATAATCCATACAGGATGTGCAAACATTTCAAAATCATGAGTTGAATAACGCTGACTCCGCCAGATTAAATATTAGAACCTAACACAAAGTAACAGGGATACTTCACGCATTGCGCAACGCGTGAAGTATCCCTCTTAGGTTTGTAGGCGCCAATGCGCGTTTCGCGCTGGCTGCCCGCTTGCCGCACCACAGCGTGCCACGGCGCTTGAAGCAACTATTTCACACCAGAGGTATTGCACAGTATCATACGAAACTGAAGGCGCTCTAATATAGTAGGAATGGCAGGCATACATCAAAAGTACGGAGCTTTCCTCGCAAAATAAATCAACATACTACGTACGGCCCAAAAAGAGATCAGTGGTCCAAAAACTCGCTAAGTCCTAGAATCCGTAATTAGTGACGTTTAGCATACACTTTATCGCCTGGCTGTGAGTTGCTTAATCGCCATCGGCTATGAAAGGCTATAAGAAATTGTGTAGCCGGCAATCGAAAATGAAACTGCAAAAACGCATATGTTGTTTGCGGGTTTACAAATCTCCACCTTCATTTTATTTCAACCGCAGAGAGCAAATTAACACAATTGCTTAAAGTTGCCGAATATATTCCTTTCGCATGGAAGAGAAAACAGGGAAGTTTTCAAGAAATGACGTTGAGTATTTTTTCATTTAGGAAATAAATTATGACAGGAAATCTTGACTCTGATTTAATGTATATTTTCCAGACACGACCGCGATTGGGGATTGGCACAAATTGATGCGGCAAGAGATCGACAGGAATTCACGGGGATCCTACCTCTGGTTCTGATCGCTTTCGGAGACCACACTCTCCACCACCTGTTCCCGACTGTGGACCACAGCATCCTCAAGTATCTGTATCCTGTCGTCATGGACACCTGCAAGGACTTCGGTTTCGACTTCAAAATGACGAGCACATTCGATTTGGCAATTGGTCAATTTCGTCAGCTAGCCCGCAACAAGCCCAACACGACCCCCCCACGGTGATTGGACTGTTAGACAGAGTCATGGACGTAGTTATTAAGGGAAGACTGCGGACTGCGACTGCCCCCCCCCCTAGAATTTGAAATAGTATCATTTGTCCCCTCCGTAAATTTTGGACTTCAAATTTAATCTAAATTTCTTTGCTCCCAATGCAAATTGAGAAAAAAAGAAGAGACAAATTTAATAAAGTCACAATATGCACAAAATGTTTAAAAATTTTCGATGAGGTGGTCTCAAAATGTTTTTTTAAATTTTCCCGGGGAGGCCCCGTACCTACCCCAGACAGTGGCGTGGCGTGAATTGCGATGTATCGATTGTTATGCCATTTAAACCTATGGTAAAGAATCGATTATTAAGGTGTTCGCTGCGAACACCCTGTCTATCGATCCTTTTCCATAGGTTTAAATGGCTTAACAATCGATATATCGCAATTCGCGCCACGCCACTGACTTCAGATTCCCCATTACCCAATAGCCCCCCCCCCCCTTCGTTTGAGTGTGGGTAGGGTTGGGGATTGTTTTCTATAAGTTGACCCCTGAGAATCTTCATTGATCTGGCCACACCTTTGTTCTTACAGAGTGCAAAATTAAGCATTACACTATTTGTTTCCTTATAGACATTTATCAATAATGCGATGGGCGCACTAAAAATTACCAAAGTTAAAATTGTCTCACCCCAACCATAGTGGTTCATTGCTCCGCCCTCTGGAAACAATCTCGTGAACGTACCTGCACTGGGACTCTCGTTGCGGTGCACGCCTCGCGCCATAGCGCCTTCAATTTTTCAGACGCAACACGGACATCCATCAAGCACGAATAGTTGTATCTCTGCGCCGTCATCGTCGCGCGACATTTCCCTTGCTTTTATTCCATATTTGTTTTGGTTTGTCTTATTTGTATTGATGCTTTAAGGGCTAATGTTTTAGGCCATGTTGTTGGCCATGTTTTTGGAAGTCAAATCCATGTAACATTTACGTGAGATAACTCACAAAAACATATTTAATCAATAAACTTTTATTAAAATCTAAAAATCTTTGCGTTTCGACATTTGTTTTTAAGTGAGCGTTTTGTTTTACCTATTTATATTTTTTGTTTACCATTTGTTTAACCTAACCCTTAAATTCTCAAGTAGTATAGAGTCATATTGACCCGAGGTTTGCTGAGGCCACATACCCTGCGGATTGTATATACGAGCTTTAGTACATTCTTTTAGAAGAATCGGAAATCACATTGAAAAAGGGGGAAAGAACTGAATGTCAATACAGCCGAAGGAGAGATGTATTCGGGCCTCGTTTTTTAAATTATCCTATCAAATCTGAGCGACACCTCGTTGGCAGTTTAAAGCGGAGCATTGCTATATTGCGAGTGCGCGCCTCGCGCCAAAGCGCCTTCAATTTTTCAGACGCAACACGGACATCCATCAAGCACGAATAGTTGTATCTCTGCGCCGTCATCGTCGCGCGACATTTCCCTTGCTTTTATTCCATATCGTGTTTGTTTCGGTTTGTCTTATTTGTATTGATGCTTTAAGGGCTAATATAATGTTTTAGGCCATGTTGTTGGCCATGTTTTTGGAAGTCAAATCCATGTAACAATTACGTGAGATAACTCACAAAAAATATTTAATCAATAAACTTTTATTAAAATCTAAAAATTTTGCGAATGCAACACGGACATCCATCAAGCACGAATTGTTGTATCTCTGCGCCGTCATCAATTCGCGTCTTTTCCCTTGCTCAAGTTTCAGAGGAACTGTGCCATAATCTTTTCAAAAGGCATTATGTTTGATTGAAAAAATATTTTAAAGAACCACCAGAGTCCAAAATCGAACTTATTTAAAATTTTCGGAGCAAAAAAATATATGCAATTTCTCTTTCCCTGGCCCTCCCAGTCAATCCGCCTTGGCATCGCGAAAACCGCGTTGTTACGAAGAGTCCGTCAAATTAAATTTAGCGGGCGTCGGATTCTTGTATTCTATTGGTAGTTCAGTTTTGTCTCTGCACAAATCAGCACAGACTATCTTATCACATCACCCCACAGTATATATTTGGCTAGGTTATGTTTACTTTTTAAGTTCATTGTGGTTTATTCTGTTTTGGAAAATGCATTCAATCGATGAAATTAAATGAATCTAATTAAAATCAATAAGAAGTATAATTAGAGTCGATTATAAGATTAGAGCGTGCCGGTGGCTTGAGTGGTCGAATGAATACAGTTATGTTCTAACAATTTTTCTATCAAGTTTTGTGCGATTCAGACCCTCTGCCTAGAGTTCTTCTTCTGCTCAGAACTCTTTCTCACGGCCGAGCCATATCATCTTAGCAGCCTATCAAGAAGTAAGTTTTTAACGCTATTGAATCAATCTTACGTACATCAGAGCGTCTACCACAGTGCTCTCTGGCCCTCTGCGATACTTAACAGCCCAGCGCCTTATCCTCCCACAGCCAGGGAGATGGCAACCTTCCATCTTAGTTTGCTTTTGAATCAATCAACAATCATGGAACCGTGAAAGTCTAGACTACTTTCATTTGACCCTTTGTGATACCCACCTCGAGCCTGTTGAGAGTGATCACAGCACATCGGGTTTTTGTTCTAGAGGTAATGTTGGGCTTGTCTATAAGTAGACACTCATTTACTTCTGACTCATTCATGTTTCCGTGCACAGTGGTCGACTCGCCCACGGTCCATCCTCGATTGCTATCAGGCAACTGCAATTTAGTCGCTTGCAAATGGAAAGTAAGTAAACAACTGCCAACTTATCTGATGATACTTGCATAAATAAACTTCCTATATTTTAATAGGGCCAATTAGGATGATCTCTAGAATATAAGTAAGATTATGGAATGTTAATTCAATTCATCCCCAAATATACTTGATGTGTTGCAGATAAGTTTGCAGTTGTTTAATGTCGGCCTCCTATGGTGTAGTGGTTGTAGCGCTTGCTCTATAATCGGGAGGTCCCGGGTTCGATTCCCGGCCAGGCGACCCGAGTTTGATGGTCTCAAACAATGGTTGCCTGGGGCTGGTTCAGTAGGGACGGAGGGGGGATGGGACTTAAAGCGTGGGATTAGCCCTTGTGGGCTATTTGAAGTAGTAAAAAGAAGAAAAAAAAAAAAATTTCCGTTCGCAGGCGGCTCTTACTTTCTCACCATTTAGCAGCAACCAAGTATTGATAGAGGGTGACTATGTCGCTGTGCGAGCATACATAAATCAGGCAACTGCCCATTAGACTCCGATGTAAAAATTAAATTTGATATACTGATTACTTTTTTTTTCAGTTCCTGAAACCTCAAGAAAGATGAATTTAGAGCGCATACCGAATCAGACAGGTTATTTGGTTCTCACAAATGACGGGGCAGTTATTGCTGTAAGTTTCTCAACACAAGATTTATATGTAGCCTAAGCTTAATTATTTGGCAGATTACTAATCCCTGCTCATAGTTGGAAAAGCATCAGTCAGAAATCACTTTACCTTTCTCAGTGGTGAGCTTTATTACTGAGATGTTCAAGTTGCAAATCTAGCTGTAAAATAGGTACAGTATAAAATTGTATGTCTCTTTTTAGGCTTTTACAAGTACAGTAGCTAAGTACGCAACAGTGGTCCAAAATGATTCATAAAGTGTTCTCATTATCAATGTGGATATCCCCTTTTCCTTACGCTGCTGCCATTAAAGGTGCTGTACATTGGATCCATTTTCTGATCGAAGGATTAATAGCTGACAATTGTCATCCAATGTACCTACAGTACCTTTAATGACAGCAGTATAAGACAAGATTTTAACAAGAAAAAAACAGAAGAGTTTGCATTTATTTCCTGCCAGCTTGAAAGTCTGGCATATAATTTATAAAATTTGATCCAATAAAATCTTCCAGCTTTCACTAAAATCAACTTTAAAAAAAGTGCGACTAAGCGATGTAATTGAAAATGATTCTTTTAGCACAACAATATTACAATTTAACTATACTTTGTAATAAGTGAAATACTTCATTAAAACATACCTCTTTTCTTTTCAGTCGGGAGGTGACCTTGAAAATGCAGAACACACTGCTAACATCATCAGTGAACTGGTTTCTCTTGCTGATAAAGTACCACCTCATAAAGAAGGATATAAAAAACTGACAGGTATACCTTTCAAGAATAGTAATTTACAGTGAAATTTTGATTTTTCAGCATAATATCAGTCCAACTGAATACATTAGAATTTTTAATTGTCTAATATAAATGCAACAAAATTGGTTATCCAACATAATACATAACGAGAAAACACACAAAAATGGGGTACAAGCTAAAAAAAACGACAATTAAGTAGGACGTTTTGAGCTTTGAGCTTAATATGCCCTCTTTCAACCGATTAACAGGAACAGAAGAAATTACAAATTATAAATACATGAGTTGTCGCTTAACGGAAAGGCAAGAAATGCTCCGCATATTTATCGTTTTCTCAACTTGTACCCTGTTTTTTATGTTTTTTCGTCATGTAATTGTATAATTATTGATGATAATCCTACAACGCACTCTGAAGCCACTCTGCAATGCCCAAATGCATCATGTGCCTGTTTTCCCAAAGGTCAGTGGGCTTATTTGATTCTCTTGGCTGATGCTTTGCATCAGTTGTTCCCATCTGTCTATCTTGTTCTGTCTTGTTGCAGTAATTTTTTTGACCTAGTATTACTTTCTGTATATCGCTGTTAATTTCTTTGCGGGGTTGGCAAATTTAAATTCATGCACTGTAAACCAGATTATTCATTTTTTTTTTATTTCTTTCCAGTGACTTACTCAGATCATTGCTACATAATTCTCCTGTCAAATAAGAAGCTGTATGTTGTGAAGAAAAAATTGCAACCAGTTTCTACCAGTAGTCGAGCAGAAGCTGATCAATGATTTCAAGCTGAAATCCAGCATCTAAAAGAACTGCTGTCATTTTGGTGGTATGAAATTTTTCACAAACATACTGATTCAGTGATAATTTAAAAGTAATAGTTAGTATGTGATTCGGGAGTAGTATGCTGATTTGAAGGTGGTTTCAGGCAAGTTCAGGCAGTTGAGAGTGTGAATGACCTATCAAACTGTTCATTGTATTGGGCTTGTCTTCAAGAAGAAAATGTTAAAATTCCCTGAAGATTAAATGATTTTTGAGGAAGTTTAACTAATAAAAACCCTATTGAAAAGATATCAACTGAACCTTGATAGAATATCCAGAGATTAAGTTAGGAAAGTTTAAGGAAGTTCAGTTAGGTAAAGATCAAACTTAGATTATCCTTTTATGCTATGATATTAGTGGGAGCTGAAATCGTCCTTTCCACAACTCAAGTAGAATAGAGATTTTTATTGTTTGTAGTTCTTATTTAGGACAAGGTCAGCAATGATGCTAATTGTAATCAGCCCAGCCAGCCTTTCTGTAATAGCAAGTTTTAGAAGTTTGGTTAAGGTTGAGCAATTCATCTTATAGACGCGGCCATTAATATTTGCAAATGACAGGGCAGCAGAGGCAATTGCCCTGGTCGGTAAATTTTGAGGCAATGAAGTAACGCTGAGCCATTGAGATGAGATTTGACAAAATCATTTTTAAAAACTCTAGAATGCCATTTGTACAAACTTTCACTATTACAAAGGCAGGAAAATCCTACTTGCTAGTTTCCAAAAGTTAAAACAGGACTTGTCCCTTTAGAATGCATGCACTTTTTCAGTGGTGGACACTCGTGTGCTCAAAGAGAGTATTGTTTTTTTAATTACCAGCAGAGCTCCTTAATCTACACTGTAATTATGAACACGTTCAGATGAAATTACCAAGAAATGTCGATCTGTTTGCAGATGGAGTTGCCTAGAGTTATTCAAAGGAGGCTGAAAAATTTTCAGTATTCGGTCAAGAAGTGGCCATTTGGGGATCACAAAATTTTAATTTCAAGAAATGGTTGGCTGTAATTTTTGGAATCCTGTTACTTGCACTGTTGATCATACAAGTTAAAAAACACCGAGGTACATGAGAATTGTTTATTTTTTGTTGAATGAATGCAAGTATGAACATGAGGCCTATGCAAGTTGTATATGTCTCTAGTATTATTATTAATTGTTTTTGTTGTAAGAGGGCAAGTGTATACATGAGTCGCTCTTCTGATTGCATTGCCTCTTGCAGCAATCAAACTAATCCCCCTTGACCTTGAACATGTGTGAATACTTTTTTACTTTTTCTATGTAGTTCAAGTTCTTCCTCTCATAATCAAAAATACAATACATTTTAAATGGCTTATCTTAGCAATGAACAATGGAATTTGCATGAATTATTATTTGAGCCCCTGGAAAAAATATAGGAGATGGTGGCTAGCAATTACACTGCTAATGGGAGTCTTCATAAAGTTAGGTCATTCAAAGTGTGTACATAGCAGTATCATGCCTCTCTGTAGTATCCATCTCGAAATGACGGCCTTGCTACCCTCTTCCATAATTTCTCTTTAGTTCAAGATCAAACCAAAAAATTTCATCTTTTTTTAGAGTGTGTCAAATCTGCTCTCATAATTCCTGAATTTACAGTCAATGTTTGATTGAGGACGGCATATTCATTGTTAAAAACTAGAAGTAGATGAACTTACTCGGTGTAATAGGAATTGAACAAGAAATTTAATTTCCTGAAATATTAGACATCAGGAATTCATCGGGAAGTCAATCGATAAGCAAATTGATGTTTGTATTTCATGATATTGTAATTATCGTCGTTATTTTAACTCTGTTGTTACTTTCATTTTCTGTGCTGATCGAAGCATATTATTGTCATACCTGTTAGTGAATAAATTTATTTTCTCAACAAATAAAAATTATTATTCAACCTCACCATTGCCCTAAAAGGAGGGAAAAATATATTATAGTTTAATTATGATGCAAAATTCATTCATATAAACTACTAAAAACTTCCTACTCAAACTAATTTGGAGAGCATGCATTAAAATGGAAGTACACAGTTGAAACCGTCTCCTCCCAGCAGGCCAATAAATGAAAGTCTATGTCAGCCAACTAGACAAGCTAAGATTAAAGTGAAATGGAGTTACTTGTTCGCTTAGCTTTGTCAGTCATTCTCTCAGTGTGCATCTATTGCGCGGAGTCAACTTGCATGTTTGCTTAGAATGGATGATCGCTTGTCTAAATATTTTTTTCCTCGTCCATACATACAGCAGGTGTGTTACAAATAACAATTTTGTGGTTAAAATTAAAAGCTTTCTGACAGAGCGATCATGAAGCTGATCCTCTGTAAAGTGACCCAGGGAGTCTGGTCCGAATCTTACAAGTCCTCTGGTTCTCACAATTAGAGGATTAGCCATGTGGGTGAATAATCAAAATCCCTCATTTCTGGAATCAGAAGGCCTTGTGAACCCTCAGGACCATACGCAAGCAATTCTACACCCCAAACCATGTAAGATAAGTTGCATATCCTAAACGTTTTCTTCCTGTTAAAATTCGAGAAAAATTCCCCTTAAGTCCTCGGGGGATTCTGATTTTTGATGATTGGCTCGTATGGCCAATTCCCCGTTTGTGAGGATTTGTTGGAATTGTTTACTTTAGACCAAAAAATTGAGCTCCTTGGATCATTTTCAAGGGATTAGCTTCAAGTCTTCTTAATTGGAGAACATCTAATGTTGATGGCAAAATTTTACTCCATTGGTAAAATTTACCCTGTACCCTGCCAATTTTTTTAGTGTTTTCCAGGAGCGAAGATCTATAGATGAGCGACTAATCCTACTTAGTCTTGGGTATTGAATCACTAGCGTATTGTCCTCCTCATAGATCTAACTTTTTATGCCAGAGCTAATATTTTTGTCTCAATAACTGACTTCATTGTTAATTGGTGCCACAAGTCTCCAAGTCATTTTTTTAAACTTCTATTTCATTTACATATGTTGAAATAAGAACAATGTAATTTTTCAAGTCTCATTAGGTATACACTGCAAACACTTGCAGATCTGTCATGAACGTAAAATTGAAAAATGAACAAAATTAAGTTAAAACAGAGTTTAATTTTGATTTGGTGACAATACAGTATAGTACAAAAATTTAAAATACATAGTCGAAGGTACGAAAGGGTCATTATTCTGAACAAGGAGAAAAGGGGACGTGGTTGCCGTGCTTAAGTCTTACATTTTATTTTAATAGAATTTCCTCGATAATAGAAACAATTATTTACAATACCGTGAATTTTTTCTTCATCTCTAATGATCATCATTACCTATTGAAAATAGCAAAAACATCAAACGACCGAAAAAAAAAAAGATAAAAAGAAATTACACCTTGATAGAAATAATGATAAATGGTACTTTTATACCTACTTCACAACTACTATAATATTTTGCAATGTTTGGGAGTTACATTTTTTTTCACAAAAGCTTAGGGAGAGAAACAATAATTATTACTATATTCATAAGTAAAAAACTGGCAGAATCCGTATGTTTTAAAACAAAATTGAATGGTAAATTCAGAATAGGTAAGTAATCAATTCCATCGTTTATTACGTGTTTAGAGTTCGTATTTCTAATAAGACAAGAGAAATTCAACAGCAGGATGGAGCCTAATTAAAGTAAAAGGATGAGGAAGCTCACCCATCCAATTTTACAAAAGATTTCATCATTGAAAAAAGGCTTAAACTACAACGTAATTTATCATAATAAATGCATAGATGTGCACACTTATGGTACGAACAGGGTTAATTTTGGGTGTTCAATTTACAGTATGTATATTTGGTCAAAAAAATTCAACACTGGTCCAAATAATAGATTAAATTAAATTTTTAGCTCATTTCTTGACGCTTTGCTTGAAAGGAATTGTAAGACCAACACAAGAGTATCAAAGATAAAAAAATACAGGGTTGCAGCTGCAGCATGAGCCAAGGTTAGCTCTTACTGATAAACACCCACTTCCAACAGAAAGATGTGGATGAAAAGCTGTTGATAATATGATACTGAAAGCGAACATAGAAACTTTTGCACAAAATACTCTTGAATTTAATAGAGTACAAAATTGGTAAGGATTGTAAGATATGACTCCTTCCGCGGCATTAAAGACTGTTATTGTTGCAAGGTTCTACACTTTACTGAAAGGTTTAATCGCATCGTTTTCTGATACTTTTTCTGGGATTATTTTGCTTCCTTAAATTTACTAATCAGAGAGCTGTAAAAGGCATTGCACTGATAATTGTGCCAAATTCCTCGCTCTTTAGGGAGAAACTGGATTCCCAACGAGGTACTGCTGGTGTGAATGTTTCGAAATGGAACTCAATAGAGGCTTAATTGCAGCATATGCGACTGAAAAAAACTTAGAAAACTTGTAAATATCAAAGAGAAAATTGTAATAAAAAAACTGGTGAAATAACAGAGTTAAGAAACATTTTTTTAAAATGTTTTACGTGAAAATGCATCCTTGCACTTTTACTAGCTTTTTACCACTCTATTTTAGTAAATTTTAACATAAATTTGAGACTAAAAGGACGAAAAGGACTTCCTAACTAATACATGTTCAAACAATTTTCTTTGTTTCTTTAGAATCTATCTTTGACAGTCAATGGTACTGGGGTGGGCAGGAGGTCCCTATGAAATTCCTATGTACAAATAACAAGCTGATGTTACTTGTTCATTTATAAGACATTTCCGCTTTTGACGCACTTTCACAGAAAATTTTAGCTAATTTAGGAGTGCAAGATAAAAAAAATGATTACACCGTGAAATTTGAATAATTCAATTTGAACTAGCAAGGAACCAATATTGGTACGGCTACCTACGTAACAAATTTACAAGCTTTCAAAAAACTGACAGTTTTCAAACAACCTAAAAAAAAGTCAGGGGATAGGAGAGAGAGAGTAAAAAAATTATTTCGGCGAAAGTAGTAATATTTGCTTTACATGGTCCCATTTGATGGAGAGTATTTCAAAGCTAGGAGTATAAAACTCCCCATCACAAACCCTTAAAGTCTTTTGGGGATAACTGGTTAAAAAAACTGTTAAGAAAAATGCTTACCTTTGGAAAAAAACAGAACAAAAAAATAATGAAATAGTAGTCAATGTTAGCTTAAGTATTTAAGAGGGAATATAATGACAGCGTTAATTGAGGTACTACTTACACGCAGAAAAAAAGAAATGATGCAATTTTTTGACAGCAGACTTACCTTCATTCACATGCTATAATGAGTCAGAAAATGGAGTCAAGCCTCTAGAGAGTAGACACTTCTTTTTCTATTTCAAAACTGTCCTGTTCATGCTGCAAAACCTTCAAGCACCCAGATGCCCGGCTTCATTTCATACTGCCAGGGCTTTGTCTTTATATCTTTAAAATTGTAGAATTTCTAAACCTAAAAATTAGAGCATAGACGTTGCTGAGTGCTGCTAACAATTGTGGGCTCAGAAAGCTTCGCACAGCCTCATAAGTTCAGGAATAGCTTTTGAACTTCGATTAGGTTCATAAACTACTGCGTTTCTGTACATTTGAAAATAGAAAGAGACTTCATTAAGATGCTTCTTGAGACCGCCTTGACTTGAAACCACCCCAAGAATTCCTTATTCGCTTTGAAATTCCTGTACTGAAGGCAATTTCAAGGAAGTTACAAGGATCATCTTGAAATTGCAAGAATAAACATGCTTTTTGTGTGGATTTCCAATGACAAAGCCCTAAGAATTGTATGATAAAATTTGAACCTCTTACTTCTTACTATTTCTTGTCTCCGAAATCCCCAAATATCTTGGATTAGTTTACTCTCCGTTGAAATTTGAGCAATATATTTGGAAAGAGAAAATACAAAAAAAAAAAAAACAATGCTATGAGGGCCTTACCGATTGGAATTCACATACGTAATTCATGTCATGGTATGAAAGTCATACATTACATGAATGAATGTAAATGCTATATCTACCAATAGATCACACATTATGCCTCTCCAAAAAATACGCACGAATACACAGTCATTACTAATATGATATGATACAGAAATTGAGGTAAGAAGGGATTTTGGTATATCTCTCCCCAGACATGTCTCATATTTTCAAGTTATGCTTGTGCGCCCAATTTGAATCTTAGTGTTTTCTCCATGTGAGAAATGCAATAATAAAGCAAAAACAAAATTAAAATGCTTTCCTCAAGAGGCATGAGTCATCAACTGTTTTTGAAAAATAACAGTCAAAATTTGTTATTGCACAGTGACATGGCTAGAAAGTCTAAACCAACTGAAGGTCAATTTCTTTTTAGATAAAATTATCAAAGTTACATGATTAGAAGCAGGATGAGCCTGAATATGATTAATTAGGCAGGAAGTGAGATTAGAGCTGTTCATTTTCGTTCGCATGAACAACCAAAAGTTGTTTAATTTTCTAGAAATTGCATGTCCAGTATAACAGTAATGAAATAAATATATCGATGGTGCAAGTCGGCAATCACATAACTCGGTTTGCGTCGTCGCAGACTTCCTGTCACACTTTATTTTTTAAACAGAAAATTACTCAACGGCAATTCTTTAAAATTGCCATGATTATTCTTCTCTGTGCAAAGAAAATTCTGCAAAAACACTAAGGAATTATGTCAATTTGTTCTCCTTTAAAAAAATAACATAGAGGTGGAGATTTTCAGACACCGTAAACGAGTTATGTGTTTGCCGACTTACACCGTCGATATGTTATCCTTTTGATGTTGTTTGCTTTTCGAAAAGCAAACATCAATAGGCGAACACATATCTTATGCTTCCAGCATGAGATACAAAAATATGCGGTTTGAGATATTGTATGCGGTTCCTGCGAAATATGTGCAGTGGTATGCAGGTATGTGATTCAGTCACATACCAATATTCACAAAACGGAGGCCCTGGCTGATGCTACGGTACAATTCTGATGTAATTAGTTCATTTCAAGAGATGAAATGATAATTCTTTAAAAAGAGGCAGATTCTTTGGGTGAACAGAAACAGATTATGTCATGCTTAATTCCTACAAAATGTGTCAGAAGAATATTGTAGCTTATCATTTCTGTTTGCAAGCCAGTGCAACGGTTGTAGCCTTTTTTACAAATGTAGTTGAAATACTGATTTTCTCAAGTAAGTAGACACCTTGACTTAATGAGTTAATGGGTGTAGGGTTTAAAAAAATACAGAAGACTTGTGAAAGTTCCATTTTGAAATTTATTTGAATTTTTATTTTCATTTTTTTAAGTTTATAAAAACATTTACAAAATAATAGTTGGTACGATAATAAATTAATAATTTACTTAAATAATTGAATTTAGCTAACGACAATTAAGTTAAAATATTAAAACAACGATTGGAAAAATTAACAAACTGAAAAGAAATACGTTACACTGATACACTCCCATCGAAAATGCAGGGTGTCTACAAACAGAGAAAACCAGAGTTCCCTTGATTTAGAGTCCAAACTGGAGACCTGGGATGCCCGCGACTTGCCAAGAGGCAGGAGAGGAAGGTGCCTACAAATTTTTGAATCCTTCGAGAACCTAGATAGACTGCCATTCTGTAAGGATTAGAGTCGGGAGTAACATGTTGTAAATTGTAATCATATAACAAGAATGCAAGGAAACAGAGGAGATTAACTACAACTGGACGTCATTGAGCAAAGGAGCTCCATCCACAGTGGCTTCCTGGAGGTGATGAGTAACTGCGCATTCTCTACCTGTGGCAGATAGATGTTTCTTCAACTTGCATATGCAGGTTGGAACTTGTTTGCTCAACGACATCCAATTTACTTCAAGAGAGTATATCTTCTTCATTAATGAGCAAGATCATTTTAAACTGAATAGGAAAATGTCTCATTTCTGTCTTTTGTAGAATTTGGATGAATGTCTATCATTAGAAATTTATAGATTCTAGTCGACTAACATGTCTGGTTTCCACAGATACGAACATGTTAAATTAAGAATAATTCGAGAAACTGTGTACGTCTGTTGCAAAGTTTTTGAATTTTTAATAAAAAGATGACAATTGATGATCTGGTTCCAAACCTTGTAGACACCGATTAAAGATTTTTGAAAATATATTAATTTACAAGGAATATTTTGAGACTGCATGATTTACACTGAGCGAGTTTGATTTTGCAATGCAGCACCTAAAACATTGAGGGTGTTTTGATCGAACAGAGTCTTGTCTGGTCACCTCTTGGGATTTTCTTCCAAATATTTTTAGTCAACAGCTGCATACTTAAATACAACACTAGTCCATAGCTGAGTTCAAGACTCCGAATTCTGAGAGTATTCTCCTTTGAAAGAGCAACTGGACTTTTTGGGCACACTAGAACTTGAATAACGTACAAATTTTACCTACACGTCTATACAAGTATAAGTAAGTTAGGATGAACAACATATGATTCCTTGTGCTTGATACGTTGCAACAACAATGAACACATCTAAAAGCTTATTTACAAAATCGTAAACTTATTTGTTAGGCTGCAACAAAGAACATGATGGCAATGGTAGCTATGCAAGAACAAACTCGCCCATTGGTTTCTTAAAAACTTGGGAACAAAGAGAAAAACAAGATACAATTTTTTGAACAACTAAGCGATGAGCTCACTCACCGGCTTTACAATAGGTACAAAACAAGAAGTGATAGATAGTTTCTTTGTAATTACAAAAAAGTTCACGTTTCAGAACGAACAAGTCTTCAATGCTTTAAAACTACACGTTAGGTGATTCATAACTTCATAAGATAGAGACAGCATCAATTCTGAGTTCTGAAAATCCTCAACCCTCCTTCGGTAGGAAGCACAAGAGGAGAGTTAAAATACAGAAGATTTTCAATTTGATAAGCTTACTGAAAAAATCTTTGACTATACATTAAATAGAGCTGATTCAAACTTTTAATTCCACAGGTCAGGAGTGAACTAAGATTATGATTACATATTATACTGGCCATCGAAATGGAAGTTCTTCTCCCTCCTTAAAAGGTTGATGCGTTCCATCTTCATTGAGATTTACAGGAGATAAAATATGTGCATAATGCAGAAAAAAATGCTTGAGAGTAAAACTCAACTTAAATTAATTGTGCGAAATGAATTTCAGTTCGAGTTTCACTTTTCATAAAAAGATAGAAAAATTACACTTCTACATAATGGATGTGACTATTTTAAAAAAATCGAGTAGGAAAAAGCATGATTTAACTACAGACTCTTAACATTCTAAATCAAGACTTCTCGCCTTAAACTTTGATTGTGTAATTTTTTTTGCGAATATTTCAGTTGGCAAAACGTAAAACCAAAAATACATGAAAAGCAGAGCAGAAGTCACTTATTCTCGCCATGAGGATTAAATACAGGATGAATTCACACGCAAAAATGCATTAAAAAGAGCACAACAGACAAGTTGGATGATTAAACTATGTATTAACAAGAATCTGCTTGTCTAAGAAAAATAAATCGCACTCCCAAATTTTTGAAGTGAAAATTTCCTTCTCAAGTATCAACTTTGGATGTAGTGAGAAAAGAAAAAATCACACAAATTTTTGTTAAATTTTGACATGCCTCACTGAGAGAGAGGGGTGGGAGAAAAACTTGAAGAGCCGATCAAAGATCTTGTTCCATTTGTCATTTGAACTGGGCCCTCAATGAAAATTTCTCATTTTCCAAGCATTGAAGAGCGCCCAATATTGTCTGGGACGCCCAAATATGGTCAAGTTTTTATACCTGGCCCCTGTGTAACAGCAGTATGGTTATGGCCAGACCCAATCCCTGAAAAAAATTAAGAGACTTCATTAGGGGCCCACTTCCAATGGCAGGTGGAGTAACCTATTTTCTTCTTCCCTTGGTTAGGCAATACTTGATTGAAGATATTCTGACCAGATTATGTATCCCGATCAGGATTTTGGTTGATTTGATCCATTTTTTTCTTTTTCGTGCATTGCAACATTCTGGGTAAAAGAAAATCAGCTGATGGAAACAAATGACAATTGAAAAAAATAATAATATGTTGAGATGAAATAAATTAATTGGGGGGGGGGGCAAATTTAAGAAAAATAGGACTGAGGGGAAATGTATTTGCTGAAAAAGATCATTAGAGGGAAAGTAGCTGCGAAAATATTAACAGTGATAAAAACGACTTCACTTACTTTACTGACTTACTAACTTACTTACATACTTACTTCAATCAATAAAATCAATTATCAGTACTGAATAGATAGTGCTTAAAAATAACTAGAGAAAATTGAATTATTTAGTAGTAAAAAAGAAAAAAATGTTTCAATCTTTTGTTTCGAGAGCTAAATTTTACTTTAGACTTTTGTAAATTGGTTTAAATACAAGTCAAAATTGCACGATTACATAAAATAAGTCTGACGAGAGAAAGGAGTGGAATCGTATCATTGAAAAGTATAAAAAATCAGTGAGTGAGAAGTAAATTCAACTTGGCCATTTTAAAAAGGATAAGAGCTCTGCCAGAAAATTGATAATACTAGCGATTTCATTACAAGAAAAGTCTCAAGATTTGAATTCCTAATTCCAAATTCGTAGAAAACTATCCCATGAGCCAGTTGCAACAGCCATTCCATCCTCCGTAACTCCTAGACAACTTACACGATTGTCATGTCCAGCTAAAATTCCTGTAAAATAGAAAAAAACTGGATTAGTGCAATTCCAGAGTGGCTCCAACAGGCAGCATTCAGCAGGGAGAAATTAAGCTTTTATTTATTTATTGTTGGGGGGGGGGGGGGGAGGTAAGACAAGGGTACAGAACATTCCAAAACGCTGATAATTGCTGTGTACAAGCATTTAAGCCTCACAGATATGCTCCCAATTTGTCTCAAAGCTAAATGTCTGCTTTTGTGGCAAAGTGTTCAATTTTACGATAAAATTTGTAGTTTGCCCCTCTTCCTTGAGCCAAAAAAAAACGAAAAAAATGTTCCTAGGATTAGAAGATAGGGAATTTTCTGCACTTCTGAGGCAAGAGTCAGTTTCGTTTCTTGGATGACAACATTCACTAATACAGCTAAAAATCCCTTTTCCTAAATTAAATTCGACGTTCTGACATTTTGAGAGGAATCAATAATCACGCAGCTCTTTTCTTTTTCGTAAATACATAGTGGTATCCTCCTGATTGATGAAGAGGAGACATCTCATAAATAATGGGTCAGTTGCACTGGACATAGAATCGTGCTTGGATGATTGATTCTTGTAGATTAGCTGTAAATAATAAGATCTGCTCTTGCAGCAACTTGCTACATTCAATATTAACCAAGAAATCGAGCTTTGAAAAATTCAGTTTCTGATGTCATCCACCGCGGTAGTGACACCCTTGGTATCTTCCATCTTGCTTTCATCCGAGTTTCATGCTGCACAACCAGTGCAAATGTGCGTCACACCGACTGATGAAAGTAAGGTGGAAAACCGAGGGTGTCACTACTGTAGTGGATGACGTCAAAAACTCAAGTTCTAAAGGGGCGATATCTCTGTTAATATTGAACGTAGAAAGTTGCTGTTAGGACGAATCTTATTATTTTCAGCTTATCTACAAGAATCAAGCATCAAAACACGAGTTGGAAATGTGCTGTGTACAGACACAGCACATTTGACCAATTGGTGAATTTCCTTTTGAATTAAGTTTTTTTCATCTTGAGTGAGCGAATGAAAATTTCTTGAAACTAAAAGAAAAGGGCGCAAAAGTTTTTTTCATTCATAAGAACTTCTTTAACTTACTACCAACAAGCAGAATCCAAGTTCCCTCCAGTGAATTTATTAGTTTCTTAACTCGGGTTGAACATAACATAAGCATTTGAAAAGGAAGTTGAACAAGACGTGAGGATGCAATATTTAATTTTTCATAAGAGTCAAAAAATGAATTGAAGTTCAGATAAAATCATATTAAGTTGGCCTCACAAATGATGTTGAATCTGTACTAAAATATTTTTGAGTCATTATTCATCAAAAATCCATCACAATCGATACAATTGCATAGTACTGCTTTCGGATATTTGAGTGAAATTAGTGTTGGGTCGTATCTTAAACTTATCTGAATCCCAAATTTTAACTTCCTCAAATTTGAGTCCATTACATATCCTTCATTTTTCAGAAACTCAGTACTTTTTTTCATTTATTATGCAGGTAAACAGATACTGGTTGCGATATCTCGATGCAGCAAGAATTTATTTGGATATTTACTGTTTGAGAACATTCTGGAATGAGTCGAAATTTGAGAACAATGAGCTCAAGGGACGATATCAATATTCGACACCATTCAAGAATTGCTGGGATTCGACTTCATGATGCGAATTTTGAAATTTCGCAGGATTCGCGGATTTGGATTCAGGTTCGTGCATCCACGAATCCACCGAATCCACGTCCCAACACTAAGTAGAATGCTAAAAAGTCCAGGTGACTTAGAATGGCATAATTTGAGATAAGATTTCTACACCCTGAAGAGTGATGCGGTGGCCAATCTCAGAAAAGTGATAACTTAAATGCCACCACGGAGTCTTAAAAGAGTGAATGAGAGGGAGTCTACAGAATGTAAGAGATGAAAAAAGCTACTCGCTTGTAATTTTTTACAATAGTAAGTACAGTAGAAAATAGAAAGTAATCAGAGAGAATTTGTTAACTTCAAGGGTCGATTTGATTTGGATTTGGCCCTCTTAGAGATGGAGGGGCAAAGAGCAAATTGCAAGGAGCTACCTTTAGTAGGAGAGGTATGAGTTTTTTCTCAGCCCTATCTGGCTAAAATTGAAAACTGCATAGAGCAGCAGATATGGATGTGTGGGAAAGTTGGCACCATAAATTAACAAGAAAAATTAATATAGTGAGAGAAACATAGGGTGCAAAAAGTTCTTTGCCTTCATATTTTTGAAGAAGGTTTCACACTGTTCACATAGGACTGCGCGCTTCACTATTTTCTTTGCATAAAAGAGCACATCACACAGTTTCCTTTGTAAAAAGTACACGCTTTGTTCTTTCTTTCTCAAGAAATAACCCGTATAATTGTTTCCTTCTCAAAAAATTGCGCATTCATACAAATTACAAAGAAATAATACTGAAATCAAAAAAAGAAAAATCCTAGATGCCTTTTGCCTTCACACTTCTCCTGAGATTAGCAGATCCAGCATTTTCTGCACCCCTGAGAACTCCTGTAGCTTCAAGTGGCTTAAATTCAGCCAGACTCGTGTAGAATTCCTCAAATTTTTACTAATTTTACTGTATATTTAACTTACTGTAATAATCTAATTTATTGTACCAATCATGAGCCATGAAATGTGATTGGTTGATTGAAATTTCTACCTCAGATTCTAGATTAATTCCTAGTGCAAATTTATAACACTCTATTTTTTTTTGCTATCTTTACGATGTTCTCTCAATAGTCTGCAGCTTGAAGGTATACACCTTTTTTTCTTTTATCTCTCGACCTAAATCTGGATATAGAAATATTTGCATTAACAAAAGAAAAGAGTACATACCTGCTCTCTCTGTTTTCATAGAATCCCAAACATTACAATTAAAATCATCATAGCCAGCTAGTAGGAGGCGGCCAGACTTTGAGAAAGCAACAGAAGTTATACCACAAATAATGTTATCGTGAGAATACATGGCCAATTCTTGGTCTGAGCGGATGTCAAAAAGTCTGCATGTTGCATCATCTGATCCAGTAGCAAACGCCCAACCATTGGGGAAAAACTGAGGAATAAACACAATGAGATGATAAATATCAAGTAGTAAGAGGTTTCATTTCAGCAGTATCTTCGAATAAATATTGTGAAAAATTATGTATCATAATCGTAAATCATAATCATATTCGTAATCATAATCATATCGTAATACATGGGTCATGACCAAACCCCATGACCCTTTTTAAAATCAAAATCAAGGATTTTCAGAAAACATCTAGTTGAGAAAATAAAGAGCTCACAAAACTTAATGGAAGGTCTTAAAGAAAGCATAAATGAAAGTAATAGTGCATCTTAATTAGCACACATTTTTACGCCTATTTTGAAGGGGGTGATTTCATTCTCAAACTCACTGACTTTGATCTAGTGCTCAGTCTGATTTAAGTAGATTTCGATTGAGGTTTTAAGCAAGCAGTGAGTTTGAAGCAATTAATAAGCAAGGAAAGCGCTCATTTTACAGTAAAAAATTTGATTTGGAAATTTTCTTAGTCACCAAATAATTCTAAAGGTAAATTTTGATGGGAAAATCAATATCATACTGTTTGGTTTCCAACCCTGTCAGGTCAGTAAAAATTACACAAAAAGTCAATGATATTTACAGACTTTTCATGTAACACAAAGGATTCCCTAGAAACCCTGAATTTGGAAAAAGGAATGTAAGAATACCATAGGAATGAAGCGAAACACGCAAAAACTGAGTTAAGCAGTAGTATTATGTGACTAAAAACGTCAAGAAATGGCATACCTCTAAGGTTCATTCCTTAGGTTTATTGTGAGAAACCTTAAAGGTAAATCTATAATTTTTCTTTCAAAATTCACACATTTCCCTTATAAACATAAGAGATCTCTCAAGATCGGTGCTTTTTCAGTGTGACTTATTTTTTTGTGTGCGTAAATACCATGAACCTAAAATACACATTTAATATTTGTAGAAAATGAGGAGCTTACCGTGACTGCATTGATATCTGACTCATGACCAGGGAACGTTTGCTTGCAAGTTCCTTCTCTAATATCCCAAAGCTGAAAACAAAAGCAAATGAGAATTAATTGGCTTTGAATTTGTTGGATTAAAATAAATTAAACTGTGCAAAATTAAGTGGAGCCTTACCAGATAGGCCAGTCCATTTATTAAGTATCAACGGCTTAAGCTGAAAATGGCTTAATTTAGATTGCAATGTTGTAAGCGTACTCTGCAGTTCCATTTTCTCGAAGGAAAATCAACCAAAGAACAATTTGGAATTTAATTTCTTGGGATATTCTTCACTCATTTTGAAGAAAATCACACGAAATTAAAAGGCAACATTTTGATTGTTTTTTTTTTTGAAGAAAATAAAACACCAGAATGGATTTTTCGACAATGCAATCCTCTTTAAATGGAAGAGCGTACTTCTTGGGAGGTACATGCTATCCTATTGAGTGAGCTTATCGGATATTTTTTATTTTTGCATAAAAGGAAGAGAGTCTGCTCATTTGAACGGTACTTCCTAAAAATTTTTTCAACTAATTTTTTCCTGGTAAAACAGCTTCCATATGAGTGTAATTAAAACTTAGAATAGAGCTTCACGTTTTATTTTAGTTTTTTTTCAATATTTAACTTATTCAGTGGCTGGGGATTTAATGTAATCTCTACCTTAGATTTGAAGTTATATGTCTGGATGCCAATAGGCCCACTCACCTTTGCAGAAGCGTCACAAGCACCTGAGACAAAAGTATGCATGTCGGGGGCTAAGGAGAGTGACATGACATCACCAGTGTGGCCGATGAATGAAGTGCACTGTTGTCCGGTTTCTATATCCCACAATGCACATGACATGTCGCCGCTACTTGTCACTATTTGGTCATCGTTCAAAAATCGACAACATGATAGGTATCCTGTATGACCAGGCAGTTCTCGACTAACCCGCACTGTTCCTTCACGCGTTTTCAGACTGAAAATATTCAGAGATTCAAAAGATAAGAGACCAAGATTCAAAGTAAAAAGAGTTGCAATTAGAAAAAGGTATGAAATCGAATCTTAGTTCAAGGAACAAAAGAATGAAATGCTTGATGCAAACCATCATTAAGATTCCACCATTCACCCACACAGTTATGTTGTTGTTTCCTTCTTCTGCAATGGGTCGATTGCTCAAATCTTATCATTAAAGGATCATTCAGAAGAAAGGCAAAGGTCTGTTTGGCGTTACTGCAATTGTTCAATTTTTCCGTTCTTCCACTCTAGAGTAAATTCACTCAACTATGAACAAAATATTCATTGAATCGGTTCAGGACTAACACAGTTATGTTGTTGTTTCCTTCTTCTGCAATGGGTCAATTGCTCAAATCTTATCATTAAAGGATCATTCAGAAGAAAGGCAAAGGTCTGTTTGGCGTTACTGCAATTGTTCAATTTTTCCGTTCTTCCACTCTAGAGTAAATTCACTCAACTATGAACAAAATATTCATTGAATCGGTTCAGGACTACAACCCTTTGAATGAATTTTATTGCAACAACTGAACCATGTCTTTTATTTTTCTACTCTTTAAGAGGTAACTTATATACATAATATTCGAAAGAGAAGATTGATTAGCTTGGCTTAATGCCATTTTTAAGGGGGAGGGGGGGGATCTAGAAGTGCCTGACAAGTACCTGACAAGATCAGAAGAGGGAGCCGAACAAATTTGCCAAAGTATCTGACTTCATTTAAAGATTTAAAGAGACCTCTAATTATGGCATATGAACTTTCAGCAGAAAAAAAACATTTTGTAACCTTCTGTTCAAAGTATCACAAGTGCCTTTTGTGCTCCGGCGTTATGTTGCCAGATATCACAATGTTGTACTTCTTTCAAGATGTTATTCTGGCTTTGTAAGATTAAATATGCAAAAACACACGGGATAGAAACACTTACCTGTAAATAGAGCAAATATTATCCAAGCCTCCACAAGCTACGTAACTGCCTGAGGGTGCATAGGCACATGTCATCACCCAACTAGACCGCAAAGGGATTGCATGTACTTTATTTGTTGTATAACTGTCCCAAACTATGAGCTTACCATCTTGTGAAGCAGAAACTAAATTCCTGAAAACAAACATAAAAGTTGCATGATAAGTAAGGTTAATATCATCCAAATGCAGCAGAAGGAAAATTTTCTTTCCTCAATTCGTACTGTTGATTGTTCGTTTTTAGTGTATCAACAAGTAAATTAAAAAGTCTTATGCATCGTGGCTCTATATTATCGTCATTGAGGCTTTTTACCCAATAATAACCTTAACACCAGAAAACTGTTGTTTTTCCCTTTGAATGTACAGACTCTTCGTTTTGGACCACATTTTAGTACCTACCGATGTGATATTGACACTCAATAATGGAGGAGGGTTCAGAGAACCTTTTTTTCAAAGTTAAAAGTTTGAAAGGTGGGGAAAAGGATGGAAGAATACCCTCTTTGTGTGACAGCTATTTCCTTTACACCCGTTTCTGAGAGTTTCCTTTTAAACATCACCTATGAGCTGACTTAAGGGCAAGCCTCTTTTCAATCAATTGGCTAAATTTTTCATGGGACACATGACTTCCCACAAAAATAAAAATTGATAAAAATGCCATAGATTAGATGTGTTAGATCACTTGATAACAAAAAAAAATAGGATTCCAATGCAGCACAGTTTGCATATTATGTCATAAGCAGAGCGTTTTTTTCAAAACAGGGTTTCCGATTATGTTGTAATGTTTGTAGGGAGATAAACAACTTTTCTTCTTCTTTTTTTTTTCATGTTTTTTGCTAAGATTGGAAATCTTCATCGTCTTGATGCAAAAAACCGGAAGGAGAAAATGGCATGTTGGTACCTAATCTATTCAATTAATGACAAAATATAATAACTACCTTGAATCGGAGCCCCAATGCATTGCATATATTTTTGCAAGGTGACCTCGCAATGTGCGTCTAGTTCGCATTTGAATTCGGCCAATTGGTTCCATGTTTCCGGTGGCTGTGACCAGACTCGTGTCACACGCCGCCTTTCTAGCATCCTGAAAAAAGAAATTGCAAAATATCATGTTAATTGTTCATCAAAATATCCTTTATTGACCACCATGCTCAAGAAATTTATCGTTCTTCGTTCCACAAGGATTTTATAATTGAACCTATTGGTTCAGAGATTGCCCATGTCTACAAGACCATATTTCACAGGAAATAAACCCAAATAAGTGTGTGACAGCCAAAAGATTCAGTATAGAGAGTACCTGTAAGAAGTCTAGGCACACCGGACCTATTTGGAGACTTGGTACCCAGCTCCAACTGGAAATAAGTTATACTTTTGAAACCCAAAAACTGAGCCTTCGAAGTCCTCAATTTGCCTCATCAAAATAACAAGGGGGTGTTCGTATAGAGAGGGAGTACAGGAGAGCGTTACGCCATTTTGTTTTTCCATGTCAACCTACGTCAAGTCCCAAAAGCGTTACGAGGGGGTCTATAAATCCGAAATTAGGCGTTATGCAATTCAGGAACGGCCGATATATTTCTAAAATCTTTCCGGCGATGGCAGAAACTCAGAAGAGAGCGAAATTCCCTGTTCTTGAAGCTGGCATAGGTGAGGACATGGGGTGGGATTTCTCCCAATTTCCCCGGTTTTCCTGCAAATGCGCACGTGGAGCGGGGGGGATTTTTTCATGAAGGGAGGCGAATTAACGGAGGCGGCCCTTCGGAGTAGTAAGGAGCCCACAGGAGCGGGATCTCGGAGGCGACCGGTAGTGAAGCCGGCCACAACCACATCCACATCCACATCAAAGAAGTGGAAGCGACGGCGGGCGGCGGCGGCGCACGGTGGAGCAACTCAGAAGGAGACGTCGGACAAGTTATGGAAACATTAAAAGCTCTCGTCTCCTTTTATACAGCGCAGAGACTCCAGGGTATCTACCAGTTATGAAAAACCAAACTTGGGGACTTTCGGGGACTTTCAGGGAAGTTTCTTCAAGAAAATCGCGGACCTTTTCCCCCAATAAATAGTGACAGAAAGGCATTGGCGGATCCAGCAAATTGGCAACATTGTTTTTTCTCCATTTAAACCTATGGAAATATATCGATTCCCGGAGGGCCCAGGTGCTCCGAAAAGACTCGATTATTTAACATAGGTTTAAATGGAGAAAATCCGGTGTTGCTAAATTGCTGGATCCGCCTATGGAGAAAGGGAGCTAGTTACAGCGGTAAAAGGCGTATTTTATACGTTTAATTCTACAAGTCATGTTGAACCGGTGAAAAAGATACGAAGAACCAAGCAGCACCTCAGTTATTTGACTCCTGGTTATACCACGCCGCCGCGGGTGGCGGGAAAATTTGAAAATCCCGGGGTTCAGGACGATTTTTGTCATTTTTGGGGGACTTACGAGGGTATCGGGGACATTAGGGGACCGATAGACACCCTGGAAACTATCGAAAAAATTAGAGACTAGGTTTAGAACTTGATATCCGAGCTTGGGATTGGGTGGGTCCAGTGTGCGGCGGCGGTGGCGGCGGCGGGAGCTGGATCAATAACCCCTCGACGGCGGGCGAAAACGAGAACGAGGAGTCGCGGCAGCCATGTTGCATTGTTGCCCCTGCGTCCTCCCGGGCAGGCCACCCGCCGCACGGAGAAGCGTTCCGGCCGCCTGCCTCCATCCTCCCGAGTAGACTATCCACTGTACAGAGCAGCGCTGCGGCCCCCGCCCCCGTGCACCGCCTCATTGCCACAACTGCCTTCCTGGATAATGCTCTCGGTGAAGCCGTATTGAAACCAATGGATTTGTGCAATGTCTACCTCGATGATACCGACAATTTGTGCGGAGCTCGTTCAGATGACTGGATGTGAGCATTGGCGGATCCAGCATACTGGCAACATCGTTTTTGCTCCATTAAACCTACTGAAATGTATCGATTCTTGGCGGGGCCAAATCCTTCAACAAGAATCGATTATTCAACACAGGTTTAAACCGAAAAAATCCAGTGTTGCCAAATTTCTGGATCCGCCTCTGAATGTGAGAATTGCCATGTTCGAAAATTTTTGATTGTGAGTTCGTTTCCATCAAGGAAATCTGATCCGTGAATGATTCCTTGTGATTTCGGGCGAGTTTTACAGATTGGGTGAAGAGAATTCACAGAGAATAGTAGAGATAGTTTTTCTCGGCAAAAATAAAATATGAGCGGAGACTTACAACGTAAGATACGCATTTTCCGACTGTAGGCATTGATTAGGTCCTTGAAAAAGGAGGCATGAGCCTTGACTCATTGCTCAATTGTTAGTGCATCACTCTCAAGTTGTATAAATATGATAGAAAGCCGGATGAAATTTTTTTCTTCATCTTCTAAATTGTCTTTATCTATTTTCACATTTTTTCCACTTTTTCCAGGTGAGGATTTCCAAAGGGAAAACCTGATTTTTTTTGTTTTCCACGATTGGAATTGTACAAAATTCAGATAATCTACTCAAATATACTAAAAAATTTCAACTTTAATCGTTAAAATTTGTTAAAATCTCAATAATTCCGGTGGCTGTAAAAACTTCGAAGGTAGGACAAAATTGAATCAGAGAAAAAAAATGCCAGCGACATACATTTTCCTGACTGCTCGCATTTTTTATCTTATTTTATTTTATTACGAAGCGGCGTGAAAGCCTTTTCCGCCTTCTCCTTTATGGAGGGAGAGAGATCTTGATCTCCTGAATCCTTAAGATTCGGATACGATCCCTTGTTATCTGCGCGTTCCTAAAAGTGTCGGCAACCATGCACGGGCACAGGTCTCACACGGATAACGTCACTAAGAAGTTCAAATGGCTCATTTAGATGATAAAGCAACTGCACCTGTCCGACGGAATCATCGATTTTAGCCGGAGAAAATTAAAGTATTACAGCTTTCCCGGGGATACGCTTGTCGGTGAGCTCTAGTGCCGAAGCGACAGACCGCCTTGATTTCACTGCATGAGCAACAATGATGGCTGAGAAGCAAGGTCAGTTGCATCCAAGTGATAGCTGTTATCACTGCCCAAAGGACCACAAGACGTCATGAAAAAACGGAGTCGTCAAATTTTGACGTCAAGTGTGTACGACAAAAATACCAACGTTTGGCGATTGGGGCAAAACTTAAGCAACTTGAGGGGAAGAGAGTCTCAGCTTGCCTTACGGGATTTTACAAGGGGAAGAATTGGGGGAAGGAGAGAGGTCAAGTCCAGAAGTTTTTAAAAACTTCCAATAAAAATGATTTTTTCCGGGGAATTTTCTAAACTTCCTTCGTTATTCTCGGAAATATGATGGGGAGGGCGGAGTAGCCCAGCCTTGCATTATTCAGGAGTGAGAGGTTGTCTTTTAGGTGCCTAGGGGTGCCTTAGGTTGTGTTTCAGGGGTAAAACAGTCCGCTAAAATGCCTCAGAAATTCTTTTCGGATACACAGCACGCCCGATTGGAAGACTCCGTCCACGAGAAAAAAGAGGTAGGGGTGGTTGGATGATAAGGAAATTTTCAATTAATTGTGACAAAGTGGAGTGACATACTTTGCGATAAATCGATTGATCTACCTTTTAAACCCATAGAAAAGGATCGATATACAGGGTGTTCCCAACAAACACCTTCATAATCGATTCTTCGCCATAGCTTCAAACGGGGAAAAATCAATAATCGATAATGGGTCAGTTGCGCTGGTCACAGAATCGTGTTTCGATGCTTGATTCTTGTAGATCAGCTTAAAATAATAAGATCTGTCTAAACAGCAACTTTCTACGTTCAATATTGACAGAGCTATCGCGCCTTGAGAAACTCGATTTATGACGTCATCCACCGTGGTAGTACATGCCATGTTACGCACTACCGCGGCGGATGACGTCAAAAACCCGACTTTTCAAAGGACGATATCTCGGTTTACATTGAATGTAGAAAGCTGCTGTTTAGACGGTCTCATTGTTTTCAGCTAAACTGCAAGAATCAAGCATCTAAACACGATTCTGTTACCAGCGCAACTAGCCCATTCACGCCTCGCCACTGTTGTGGTAATACTCCAATAAATGAGGTTACTAACTCAAATGTTGCGGTACTACCACAATTAATCGGAAATGTCCATATCATCCAACAAATTGGGGCAGTGCCACAATTTTAGGGATCCCCAAACGCTTTTTTCCGAGACCGTGAACGAAATCCTCGACGAGAGTACTTGGGGAGCATTTGCGTTTCACGCAACGAACTTGATGAGGTGGGGCTCTAAATCTCACTGGAAAAAAAAAAAAAAAAAAAAAAAAAAAAAAAACACATTGGATCTAGAGTCCAGACTCTTGAAAACATTGACAAGAAAAAATACTCTTGATTCAATCGGATTTTTGCTTAAATCAAAAGGAAATCTGCTTAAATTAAGAGGCTTGGTTCTTGATTTAAGCTAGATTCTGATTGAATCAAGAGTACTTTTTCTTGTCGATGTTTTTAAAAGTCTGGACTCCAGATACAATGTGTTTTTTTTTCCAGTGCTGCGTCCCGTTGTGCCACGCAAGGGAGGACTGAACCGCAGCAATACACACACGGTTCATAATTACTGCGTGTTTTTTTTTTTTTTTTTTTNTTTTTTTTTTTTTTTTTTTTCGGAGAGAAAAAGATGATCGGGTTGCATCAGGTGGAGAGTCGCTGATAGTATAGATAGAAGGGACGGACTTGCCCGGCGATGGGGTTGGAGTTTGGTGGCAACATTGTTAGCCTCATTCATGATATTTCACTTGAGCTGGGAGCCCCCTCCTGCTTCTCTGCCACCTCCTCGTTCCACCCTCCAGCGCCCGACTCGGGGGTCCTCGCGCGCAATCCTCCCCATCTTCGCTTTCCGCGGGAAAGAAGGCGACTTTTCGTCGTCTCGAGAAAATTACTACCGCAATAAGACTGATTTAGGGACTGCGTCATTCGATGTAATATCCAACGCTTGGCTCAAACCAAAACAAACTAACATGACCTCATGTACGAATTCTTCAGGAGTTAAATTGTGCACTGGGAGAGAAAAAAAAACAAAAAAACAAAAAACAACACACATTGGATCTAGAGTCCAGACTCTTGAAAACATTGATAAGAAAAAATACTCTTGATTCAATCGGATTTTTGCTTGAATCAGAACGAAATCCGCTTAAATTAAGAGGCTTGGTTCTTGATTTAAGCTAGATTCTGATTGACTCGAGAGTACTTTTTCTTGTCGATGTTTTTAAGAGCCTGGACTCTAGATCCAATGTGTTTTTTTTCCCAGTGTGTTAATTTATTAGAATTTAGTCATTGACCGGTCATAAATATATTTTTTCCGTATCAAACTCGTATTGGTACAAATATGCCTTAAGTTCAGAACTGTGAGGTAATTTGGCTGTAAGTAAAGAAGATAATGATTCTTAATGAACTTTTTTCAACTCGACTTTTTTCCTGTAAAAGAGAGGAGATTTCTCGTCTTGCTTTCTTAATTTTCCAAACATTTTCCTGATTTATCCTGATGTAATCAGAGTTCAGCTTTATCCCGATGGATGCCACTGTACAGACCCACCCTGTGGAGAAACTACAAAATTACGAAAGATACTTACTCGGATGGCATTTTTAAGGGTTTCTGCTTCTGTCCTAAGACTGTCCAACTCATTCATACTTGCTCAGTCGCTCTGCCAACCGACCGGAGCTAAAACAAAAAAATAATACGAACAAATATTAGTATTTTGACAAGCCTGCACGAATAAAAATTGTTAAGCACGATTAAATAATGGGAAAATCCTTGGAAGCACTACATTCCTGACGAACCGTCGGATCGATGAAGATGATCCCTCCATTGGTCTATATCTGTTCCGCATTAGCTATCGTTTGTCAAATAATAAATAAACCCCAACTTTCAATAACGTATAGCTTTAAGGTGCAAATTGCTGACGGTCAACGCTAGGGACACAGGAGACATCGACGGTGAAACTACGAAAAAGCGTATCTCGGTTGCGATGGTACAAAATCTTCGCTATCGATTTTCTTTTTTAAAAGGAGACCGAAACGACATCATGGCTTGAAGTCTTCACAGAATATTCTTCATAAAAAGAAGCAAAATCATTGAAATTGTCAAAAAATGACGTTCAGTAGTTGTACATGTACATGTAGAGAATAAAGTATGACAGGGAGTCATTCTTCATAAAGAGAAGCAAAGTCATTGAAATTGTCAAAAAATAACGTTCAGTAGTTGTACATGTACAGAATAAAGTATGACAGGGAGTCATTATTCATTCGTAAAGAGAAGCAACATTATTGAAATTGTCAAAAAATGACGTTCAGTAGTTGCACACGTGGAGAATAAAGTACTTATGACAGGGAGTCAGCACCGCCGCGCCGCAAACCGAGATACGCGTTCCTGCAGTTTCACCCTCGATAAGCGGTTTCCGCAACGAGATGTCTCGGGACTGATTTAAGGGAACGCCCACCCTGGACGAAAAACAAGGCAGCAGCAGAGGTGTCACAAATTTTCAGCTCTACGTAGGTCACCGGTCCGAGTGAGCTATGGTCGGTTTCATCGATCCTTTCGACAGCGTCATGTCGTAATGACGTCATCGAAGAGAGACCGAAACCATTGATGAATGCGTACAGAAGTTTACAATCAAGCGCTGGGTCGAAACATGGGTTCTGGCTTTCAATCCAGAACCCGAAGAGTCACCGAGTCACGTATCGATTCCACTGGCGGATCCAGCAAGTTGGCAACATTGTTTTTCTCCATTTAAACCGATGGAAATGTATCGATTCTTGGAGGGGGCAGGTGCTCCAACAAGAATCGATTATTTAACATAGGTTTAAACGGAGAAAAACAATGTTGCCAATTTGCTGGATCCGCTTCTTATCGCTTCCTAGGTCGTCCTAGGCTTTGGGCCGCTTAACAAAATGACTCAGAGATGATCAAGGAGACCTTAATATGATCCTAACAATATCAAATCATTGACTCCAGGGTGTTCAGCAGTTTTCAAAAAAACAAAAACAAATCCCTGACATTTCCCTGACAAAAACGACTCAAAAAACCGGGGAATAATTCAAAATTCCTTGTCTGACGAAAAAAATAATTCCTTGACATTTTCCTGACGAGAAGGAAAAAATTCCTAATTTTTCGACGCGTTTGAACTGATAGGATGTGAGTAAGAATTTTTTTCATGTTTCAGGAATATAATGTAATAAATAGAGCACTTCATGACGCCTTGACTTATGCGAGATATTTTGCCTCATTTTTTAAAATTTAATAGACATCGGCAGAAATTCTGGTAGTTTCCGCAAGAGTAAAATTCGCGAGACGTTTCCCGGAAAAATCCGTGTTTTTCGATGTCCTTGACACGAAAATAGCTTACGAAATAAAATTCTCTGACATGCCGAATTTTCGCAGATTCCCCGACCTTTTCCCCGACATTTCCCGGTCGCAACCTGGACTCTTTCAGTGTTCTCGGTTGGAATAAATCGTGATATATCGCTTTCTGGTGACGTGCTGCTGATAGCGTCTATAGCAGGAGCCCAAGTTGCGATGGACGGAGCGTCGACCGGAAACTATCCTCGAAGCTCAATTAAAACCTTGGTCCCCTACTTCCTTTTTTACGCTGAGGTTCCTCAATCCCTTTCGATTCGGCGCGGCGGTTCGATACCACGTCGTCAGGCTTGCTCTGTGGATTCTTCAAAGTTGGCAGCGCTGTTTTCCCTCCATTTAAATGTACGAAAAATAATCGATTCTTGGTGAGGCAGCTCGTCTCGCCTAAAATCGATATTTTTTGCTAGGTTTAGTTACCGCGTTTTTCAATCGCAAAATTGCTCATTGGTGGATCCAGCAACTTGGCAACACCGGATTCTCTCCGTTAAAACCTATGGAAATGTATCGATTCTTAGAGGGGCCAGGTGCTCCAACAAGAATCGACTATTTAGCGTAGGTTTAAATGGAGGCAATCCGGTGTTGCCAAATTGCTGGATCCGCCTCTGAAATTGCTTAGGTGATTGACGACTTGTGCGAATACCGACGAATGTGATGGAAAAAATCAGGCGTTAATTGAAATTCGGGACGGCATCGTGCAAAACGACCCTACGTGACGCTTCCTCGTTTCGACCTGCGTTGCCTGACTAAATGGAGTCAATGTAATATTTTCGTTTTAAAACGTCTGAAAAGAGGGCCACCGTGCTCTTCATTGGAGAGAAATTTTCGGTATGAGGAGATAAAAAAAGTAAAATTTTTAATTGAATGGGAGCGTACGTCCCATTGGACAGGCTGTGAAAGAATTGACGCGAAGCGAAGCTGACTGGATCCCTTATGCTGCCGTGCTAAGAAAGAACGCCGTACGAGCATTCGAGAATTGCCAAATTTCCTTGGATAAAATGTTCATTATTGCGGAAACTTACGAATATTTTTTCTTGAAATTTGCAGACACTTTCGATCAAATTACGAACAGAATTATTTGAGAAATTTGCAGAGAAATATTAAAAAATTTTCCTGAAAATTAGTGATTTGCCAGAGGAAATTTGGCAACGCCTGAAGGCTCATGCGGCGTTTTTCCTTAGCACGGCAGTATGGAAGTCTTCGTGCGCGCGTCTCGTCAAAGTGAACATATTCGTGACTAATGAATAATTAATTTGTCGTCGCAATAATCAGGAGAGTGTGGGGGTAGAGGGGAGAGCTAATCAGTGGCGTAACGGGCGCCCCCGCAGACCCTGCTATGCAGGGGGGCCCAGGCGCCAAGGGGGCCCTCGGCCGCCGGAATTTTTTTTTCTCTCTCTCTATCTTTGATGCTTAGCTTAGGTTTCAAACTTTGGGCATTTACTTACTGAGATGGGGCTTCTTCCTCCGATTTTTATTGTTAGCTCGGGGTTTTTCATACTTCTTTCGGACTGTTCCGAACTTTTTAGTTGCTGGAGGGCCCCTGCCTTCCGATGTCCACTCAGTGATTACTAAATTGTTTTTCTTTTTTTGTCACTTTTCGTGATTCGGGCTTTGGGAGATCCAATAATCCTTGGGCCTGGGCTGGGCCCCCGCCACCCTTAAGATCCTTGATCCTTTAGGGGTCCCATATAATCGGGTACGGGATCTGGGACGGTGAGGGGTGAGGCAGTCCAAGTCCGTGATTTGGGATGCCTCGGGCCAAAAAATGGGAAGGGGTGGGAGGGGGGGATAATTTTGGAATTTTATCGATATGGGGGGGGGGGCTAGAAAAAATTTTGCGGGGAGGCCCAGCGGAAGTCCGTTACGCCACTGGAGCTAATCCAACAGAACGAACGAATACAGAGGTAGTTTTGACGGATCGCAGCCTTTACTTCGAGATTTGGGTCAGAGGATTGGTTCTTAGTTCTCCTGCAGTCCTGCCTATGATACTGCGTATATGAAAATCAGCCGTCTGGTCACTGGAAAATAAACACATTGGATTTAGAATCCAGACTCTTGAAAACATTGACAAGAAAAAATACACTTGATTCAATCAGATTTTTGCTTAATTCAAGAGGAAATCCGCTCAAATTAAGAGGCTTGGTTCTTGATTTAAGCAAAAATCTGATTGAATCAGGAGTATTTTTTCTTGTCGATGTTTTTAAGAGTCTGGACTCAAGATCCAGTGTGTTTTTTTTCCAGTGGTCGTCATGCATAAAGCTAGTGCTTAAGGCGAATATTCTGTGTCCTAACTCATAAAAACTATCACTAACAACTAAAACAACTGTCACTAAATGAGCATTAGCGCTCTTACCATTCTATTCTTCGATCGGAAGATCGACGCACTCCTTGGATTCACTTGTTTCAACGCTTACGTCATTTTCATTTCCCCGGCTATTTTTGGCCCGGGCATCGTTTTTTGTATCTCTCCAAGTCAAGTCCCTTCTGCTCGGTCGGTGTGATTCGTTTCCTATAGCTTCATTTGATTTTTTATTTTTAAATTCCGCCAATCTCGCCACTGGCGGGATGCCGCTATTCGGGTGCTTATTGGATCGCTGATTTCCAAAAAGAACGAGGAGAAGATCACCGTGGTTGTTATCCGGGACTGGCAAAGCAATTTTTCACACAGCCGAATGGGAATATTATGCATAGTAAAAGAAAAAATGACGGGTTCATGGATCTATTTTCCGTCAAAAACTCAGTTTCGAGATAATCCGACTTGGCGCCTTTTCGAAATAAGCGCGTCAAAAAAGAAAACGGCATTCAAAATTTGTGTAAACTCTCACAAACACGAAGAAACATAACTCCATTCCAAGGTTGCAAAACTTCCTCGAGCGATTGAACTTATGACAGGAAAGTACGTGTGCAAATTGTTTTCGAAATTTTTCTGATTATGCCACGAGATCAGGCGAAAATTCAGGAAAATTTTCAGTTAAAATGCCCAAGGTTCCCGGTAAAAATGTAATTACGAGAGGAAATTTGGAAACATTGAAACGTAGTTACGTTCTTTCGTGAGGGAAACGACGAAACGGCACCGACTGAAGTTGCTGAGCCGAAGGGATGATCGCGAAGTGCCCTGATTTTTCCGAAGAATCTCTGACTTTTCCGTGTCGCCATACGTTCCCTGACTTCAGAGGCGGGTTAAGCAATTTGGTAACACCCGATCTCCTCCATTTAAACCTACGCTAAATAATCGATTTTTGTCGGGGCTCCTGACCCCTCTAAGGATCGATACATTTCCATGGGTTTAAATGGAGAAAAGACAGTGC